GATTAACTAGGACCTTATGGACCATTTATAATTAATAAATATTAAGATTTAGTATATTTAATTGTAATTGAACCGGTTAATAGATATATGAAATTAAACGATTAATTATGGAAATAATTATAAAATAGATATCTGGACAACCTAGGTCAAATATTGACCCAAAATATAGTTATAGACGGTTTTTAATTTATAAAGTCGATTCTTAGGCTATTTAATTTAATTGGGCCATATAAGACTAGTTAAGTAATTAAATAAGGAAATATTAATATTAATGATGAAATAAATAAATCACTGAGGTTGAAAAATAATAGTCTGGACTAAAAATGATGTTAGAATAAAATAAGGAAAATAAAATAAGGTTGGGTTAGCTAGCATAAATAATTGATTATATATAGACTTAATAAATAACTTAATTATGTAATTAGTGGACTAATTCAATTAATGATTTTTATGATTAATTATTAGATATTCGGACTTCATATAAATATTTAAAATATTTGAATTCATAAATTAATGGGTTAATATAAATAAAGTAATTAGATAATAATTTATGAGTAGAGTAAATTAATGGTGATTATTGAATAAAAATTGGATGTTGTAGTTAATTATATTCGGATATTTTATTTAATATTAGAATTCAAATATTGTAATTAATGGCTGAATTAATAAGGTAATTTGATCAATAAAAAGTGATTAACCAAAGTTTATGCGAATTATAAAATAAAAGGAGAAAATCGGGTAAAGTAATTACAAATAGAATAAGTGACTAATTTATCATATTTAATTAAAAAGGTGATTATCTAGAGATCGGATTAGAGGAGGATAACTAGGAGCATCAGGACTTAAGGTAAGTTTCTCTGCCAATCCAAAATTGTTTCCTCGTATTATATGCTTATTATGTGTTATGTGATTAAGTGTGAATTGTAAACTTTGTGTATGTGATTTTGAGAAGATATTATATATATAGTAGTTAAGAAGTATAAATCAAGTACTTTTGGGGTATTAAATATTTTTAAATACCTTCGAGATTTTTTTGAGAAATTAAGAAGTATTTTTGAAGTATTATTAAGCGAAGATAAAATTTACATTTTCATAAGAAGTGAGCATCTCGGGAGTAATCCGAGGTGTCGGTTTTTCCACATCCGGATAAATGTGGAGGGTGATTAGAGATACTACTACTAAGAAGTACAGTTTAAGTTTCAAGTAAGATTTGGATCTATGATCCCTTTTAAGTAAGATTTGGATCTATGATCCCTTTTAAGAAGAAGTTATAGTAGTAGTCCCTAATCATTCAAGAATTTTAGAATTGGGGTGGTTGGGTTCCGACCACTCGGGATGACTTACTACTCGGAGGGCTTGGAATCCCTTTTAGGGGGTGTGCACACTTAAGGTAGTCGTTTCGTTTCCAACAGAGCAGTTGTGGTACCGTGACTTGTTCGGGGTGGCCGTCCGTAACCACGGTCCACCGGGCTCTACCGAAAGGTTAAGCACCGCCCTTCTAAATTACTAGGAAGTTAGAGAAGAAGTGATTTTCTTAAGAAGTTTAAAGAGAATAATTACTGAGAGATTTTCCAAGAGAAGTTTAAGATTTTAGCAAAGAAGTGATTTTAAGAAAAATCAAGGAGAAAAGTATTTTGGTGGAGTGCGTCATTTTTATATGATATTATATAAAAATCTATTTTTAGTCAAACCTGATTATTTTACGGGGTTGGGTAGTACTTACTTAGCTCTAAAGCTAATTTTTGTTATTTCTCTTGTCTCTCTCTTCTCCCTTAAATTTTATCAGGTGATGAGTTGGATGCCTATGTGGATTGATGGATTGCTCGAGCTTGAGTGCGAATTAGAAGATGCCTTAGTTAAATCTAGTCATGAAATTAACCTTTACTTATTATTACATTAGTTTTTATTGTTTTACTTTGAGTTGCCTGTGCATTCGGTTAAGAGATGACCGAATGTGGCGGTAACACTCATTTCCCTTTTAGACTTCCGCTGTATTTCTTCAACTCTTTGATGAATGAATAAAGTATTTCTTTTAAATATATCAATGTTTTGGGTGGGAAATTTAGGGGTGTTACAATGTGGATGGTGATGACCCTTGTATAAATAATCTATATAGATAGGCAAATGTTAAAAGAGGGTTGGTTACATTAACCTAAAAAATCTCCTAATTTTCACTCTTTAATATTTCCACGTGTAAAAAATGTATTCAACTTCATTGTAAACTTTAAAAATTGAAGAACTAACATAATATGTGACAAAACTTAAATTTAATAAAATATTCTATCCAGCAGAAGTGAGCGGAGAGTTTGTTAGCGTTACAACAGAAAGTTTAACCAACTGTAAAGTACAAATGAGAAGGGAATAAATCTGGTTATATTGATGGGTGTAGTACATGATATATTTATACCAATATTATTGATAGTCTTAGCTTTGGATATTATTATTTAACACCCCCCCTAATACCAAAGCTAGCAAATACACAAAACAAACAGATTACAACTAAAACATAATCACATTCAATAAGCTTCTGAATCTTCTGAAACTTTCAATCTTCAAAGCTTTAGTCAAAATGTCTGCAATCTGTTCTTCTGTACTGCAATGAACTAGACAAATTCTTCCTTTGTTCGCTTGATCCTTTTAAAAAATGAAATCTTGTTTCAATGTGATTGCATATGGCCATGAGAAACTGGATTTCTATCCAGATTTATAGCTGATTTGTTGTCAATGAATAACTCTAGTGTATTAATGCTCCTCTATTCAAACTCTTTTAACAAAGACATCAACGACACACCTTGACATGCAACATTACATGCTGCAATGTACTCAGCTTCACAAGTAGACAAGGCTACTACATCCTGTTTAGTTGAACACCAGGATATAGGATTGTTATTCAGAAAGAATACATAACCCATTGTACTTCTTTTTCATCCTTATCTCCACACCAGTCTAAATCAGAATAAGAAGTAAGATGCAAATTATGTTTATCACATCCATTCACCACTTCTTTTGAAAATAGGATTCCAAAGTTGGGAGTTCCTTTTAGATATCTCAGAATTCATTTAGCAGCAACTAAGTGTGTCTATCTGGGGCCAGCCAGTCAGCCATATATCTGCTTACTAAACCAAAACCAAAAGAGATCTCAGGCCTGCTTTGACACAAAATCTCAAACACCTTGTAATCTAACTGTATAGGGTTGCATCCGCACTAGGTTCATTCTCTGATTTATCCTGTTTGGTATGGACTTCTACTGGAGTTTCTACAGGCTTACATTCCCGCATCCCAAACCTTTTCAGAACTTGAGACATATACTTCTTTTAATGCATTATCAGTCTTAGCTTGGTATTGTGGAATTCAATACCCAGAAATAAAGATAGTTCTCCAAGATCTCACATTTCAAACTCTTTCCTCAGTTTGCACTTGAACTCATTCACTTTGATCAAATCACTTCCAGTTATCAATAAATCATCCACATACAAGCATATCAGTAGCATAACGATCTCATAGTTGTTTTGTACATACACTCCATGTTCAACTTTGCACTTTTTGAAACCAACTTTTGATAGGAACGAGTCAACCCGACTCTAGGAGCCTGTTTGAGCTGAGGCCATTTAAGGCCTTCTTCAACTTCAGAACTTGTTGCTCATGTCCTTTGCAGATAAAACCTGGAGGCTGCTTGATGTACATCGTTTCTTCAAGCAATCCATTGAGAAAGGCTGATTTGACGTCTAAGTGCCAAAGTGAGTTAGTGACCAACTCATTTGATAAACAACTGCTACTATCAAACGAATGGTTTCAACCCTTGCCACCGGGGGCAAATACTTCTAAAAAATCAATTCCATGTCTCTACATGAACCCCTTTACTACCAAATGAGCTTTGTTTCTCAAAATAGTGCCATCAGCATGTGTTTTAACTTTAAAACCCCATTTTACATCGCTAGAAGTTTTTCCAGGTGGCAAATATGTTAATTCCCAGACCTGATTTCTTATAATTGCATCAAGTTCTTCTTTCATGGCCCCAATCTAAACAGGTTCCTTAATTGTTTCTTCAAAAGTGATACCACCCTGATCTGCTATTAGAGCAAGGTATATGGAATCACCTTCAACACTTATCTCAAGATCCCTCAAAATTTCACAATCTCTTAAGAAAGGTAGATGGGACAGGATGAAGGGCAGCCAGACCTAGCGAGAGGATTGTCATTCTCCATTAACTTTTTCGGGGAAATTGACCTCTGCACGTTACCTTTCCGCGATAAGACCGAAGGCGACCAAGCTTGCCCAGAGGGTGACCGCCCTTCCAACTTTTGGCCAAATTTTGGGTACAAATGTCTTCTTTGGATTTATGTTAGCTGACTTCAAACTCTTTTGAGAGATTAAGGATGTATTTAATTAAACGGGAATTTTCTGGACTGGTCTCATCTGATCTGATTTGGTAGATGTCTGGTGTATGTGTAATTTACAATGATCGAGGCATGGTCTGGTCTGGTTTGATTAGGTCTGATTTGATTTGGACTGAACTGCGTTGACTTGGTCTGATCTGATCTGTGACTGAAATAAGTCCAAATAAAACATCATTAAATAATTTGAGAAAGAATTGAAGATAACTAACCAATTTTATAATAAAATTATAGTGTTGCTAGCTATTCGTACGTACTCAGTCGTTCAAGGCCAACAAGTTACTCGATCAGTAGTTGTTGGAAATTAAATGTCGTACTGATTATGGTGCGCCTAAACATTAAGTGATCAAAGACTAAAGTGAGCCAATACTAATAAACTACTATTTAATCCAGCTAACTACGCTCATAAAGAGAGCTAGCTTCTCAACCAGATTCAAATTGCCATTAAATACTAATGCTATTTTTATTAATTAATAATCACTAGTAGCTAGTACTATAAATGGTGAGTAGTTGGTAAACTCAAATTAATTATGTATGTAACGGAAAGACCAATGATAGTATATAAAATGCCAATCAAAACTATTGGCCATATATAATTCTAGCATCGTAAAGCTATCTAGCATATTCTGTGTGAAGATGGTAACAAAGAAAACCATTTGTTTGCTTTACATTTTCTATGTTCTCTTGGCAAATCTTTGTTGTGGTTTGGTTACAAACCCTGACTGTTTTGGGAAGATTTGGTTCCCACATGAAGGGGGTGCAGGTAGTGTAGAGGGAGATATTAGTGGCGGTGCACCCGCACCCGGACCGAGAGGTGATGCACCGAGCGGAGAACCCCCGGTTGCACTAGGGTATGGCGATCTACCTAGACATGGTACAAGCGGAGGACGTCACAGACTTTATCCGGGTGGCGGAATTGGTGGAGGCAGTACAAGAAGAGACGACAATCATGAAGAAAGGACTCATTTAATGGTGGAGACACCGATGAAGGCATTAATCAATCCTCAGGGAGAAATGGTGGCAGCCGAGGAGATGCGACAAGTGGTGAAAGCTATGGACGATGTTGGAGGAGGTGACTACCGCTACAAGATGTTTGGGTCACCAGTTTAATAATATCTATTTAGGAATGAAGTTGATCATGTAGTAGCAACCATATGAAAAATTATTGTAAAATGCAATTGAAGTATTAGTTTTGGTAACATAATATGTATTCTCCCATTTTAGCATGAAAACATTGACATAAATTGCATCATGTGTTTGGAGACGTTGTTGCATGTTCCATTACCGGCTTAACCTTTAATTAAGCAAGAATGTGTCTCATGACTCTCATTAGTTATATGATAAGGAACCCCGATGAGCCATGTAAAGATTTAAGTATTATATATAATCTTTATTAAATTAGATTTTATGTACATCTTAACTGTAGATTTGATGGGGTTCCTCCAACTTTCTCACTTATTATGTTGTATATGCACAATGGTGCAAGATTTACTATTTTGGCAAAAACTCACCAAGTAACAAAACTCGATAGAGAAGAAATTCCTCGATCGGAGAAGAAATGTTCAACATTATTCAATCCCTATTATGATCAACAATATTACATCATTAATGACTTATGAAATAATCTTAGCTTGATTTAATGAAATTGGCTGATCATGTTTTTATTAGTGTTAGACTCCATCTCAAGTTTACATATCCATGTGATGTGATAAAACCTCTGCTTATTCATATGCTTCTCAGTAGCAGGAAGAATTGCAACAGCTCCCAAACATTGGATTAAACCGAGAGAGGTCCGTTTAAAAGTCAACGTGGACGCTGCAGTGAAGGTAGAGGGGGCTGCATCGGGTTGGGTGGTAAGGGACTATACAGGGTCTTTTATTGTCGGGGGAATAAAGAAAAGACCCGAAGTTTGCCAACCTCGTGAAGCTGAAGCCCTTGCAATAAGGGAGGCCATTAGTTTGCTTAGGGACTATGGCTTTGATTTTATTGACGTGGAATGTGATGCTACCCAGGTTATCAAGAGTATTCAGGATAGTTCAGATGGATCGTCCTTCAGGGTCATTACTGATGATGTAAGAGATATTATGACTAAATTCACTAGTATTTCTATTTCTCATGTGAAGCGGTCAGTGAATCGGGTTGCTCACGAATTAGCGAGGGCAACCGTTTCTATGTCTGATTGCTATGTGTGGCATACCACGCCTCCATATTGTATTCTACATTCCTTAAACTTTGATTTGATTAATAATATGTAGTTTGACTTCCTTCACACAAAAAAAAAGTTTGCCAGTGACACATGCTCAATGGAAAAAGCTTTCTGAATCACCAAATGTCCAAATGCATACAAATTCTTTGCTATGACCTAAATAGGCAATGTCAAACCTCTTTCATAGGCGACAAAACACCAAATTAACAATAATACTAAACAAAGAATTTAGTATACTAACATTTTATCATTACAATGGCTTCCTAACTCCAAACCACAAATAGATGTGACCTCATATGGGAAGACATAGCTCACACAAGAAGAAATAAATGTAGGTCGTCAAAGTTTTGGATAAGTATTATTAAATTATTTGTTATTTTGGGCCGAATCCTAGGTGGGATGTTTGTGATGGTTATTAGGCCTCATTTGAAACAATGTGGATTAATATCTATTAACTAACTAAAGAAAAATATTCATAGGCTCTCATTGACTAACCACTCACACATGTTTATGTAAAGATAAAATCATTTTCATATTTCCTATCATACCCTTATTACTAAATAGAGTCTCGACGCAGAGTCTTCAAGTTCAGACAGAAAGCTACAAAGCCTCCATCTACTTCAAGCAGGTAATTCAACTAATTGTCATTAAAATCAAACCAGGCTTGCTGCTCCAAATTCAACTAATTGTCTCACATCATAATATGGGTAGAAAAGTTGGAAAATACTTGAAACAACCTTCAAGTATACACCAATTCACGAAAGGACTATCCAAGCAGTTAAAAATAAGAATAAAAAAGGCGTATATAACAAACTATGAGCAATAGCAAAAAAAATGACCACTTCTGAAGAAAGTCGCACACATAAAAAATTACAATTTTCATCTAACGACCAAGTGAAGATAGATGAAAATGAAGGTACATTCCCATTAAGATGTACCATAGATGCTTCATAGATGAAAGCACAATCGTGTTTATCTAGCAATTCTGAAGAGAAGCCCCATGGATGAAGATGTTGAAGCAATTCTTGAAATGAAAAGAAGTCCCCAATATGTTGTGAAGACCAAGCCACTTCGACCCCAAAACGGGCGGCCAAGTGAAGATAGCATGCCTGGGAAGTGAAAGATGAAGACTTGAAATTGATTTGCACCTTGAATCAAGCCAATATCAGTCCAGCCCTACAAAGGAGAATCACCACAGTGTCAAATGTACTGACAAATAGCTACTACCTTCGGCTACAAAGTTTTCGCTTAGGACCGATTTGAACCGAGGTAGAAGACCATGAATAGAGAAGAAGAACTTAAACACATTAAATTGATGGATGGACCAAGATGCAAGAGAGTTTGCGGTAAGAGACTTTGCAGCAAGTTGTAGCCATTAATTCCTAATAATACCGATTGTTGTTATTATAATCAGGGTAATTTGGATATTTGAGTTTATTTAATTTGTTAATATTAAATTTTGTGATTGTGATTAGTAAATTAGAGGTTGTGAATAGAACTACCTCTAACTAAATTAATGGTCTTATTTATTGGGCCCGATGGAGAGCTCAACTCACTCGTAATAGTTAAGAAATACCAAAAAGGAAAGAAAAGTCCAAAACAAATTAAAGGAGAGTCGGGATAATAGCTAAATATGCATGGAGCATATACTAATAAAATTTAGGTGAGTTCTATCATATCTTTGTGATAATGTACATTATCAACATAGATCAATTGAAATATTACAATTGATCAAATGATAAAATGATACGTGACAGAGACCAAACATTTGCAATGTAGTTCTTGTACTCTAACTTGAATTTAAATAGTATCTCTATCCCAAAATGATCTTCAAGTTTAGTTTCTTGGACAATACAATTTCATGTTATTCTCCAATTTTTAGTATCCATTTGTAATAATTTATACATTTGGATTTTGCGATTCAATAGATCTTTTGGTATAAAATTGTTATGACAAGACCCTAAACCCTAAAAATAGTAGTACCCTTTTTAAGAAAGGTAATTTTCAATAATATCAAAGGTCACAAGTCGATCAATAATATGGAAAAAACTATTTATATGCAAACGGTTCAAGTATATAATAAAAAGATATGTAACCACTTTCCGCACTTCAAGACTAGTCATTCTAATCGATAAAAAGTTGTACCAAAACATGAAATAAAACTAATTTGACGGGTTAATATCTTTTCTTGATAGTTTAAATGACCATATTTAATGTGAATAAATAGACATGCATCAATTTTGTTATATATTTAAATAATTGGAGCATGAAATAATTGTTATATCTATACTATCACACATATAGTATCTTGGAGTTATGACATGAATATTACCAAAAAGAGACCGTTTATTATTTCCAAAAATGGGGCTAAACATGTAATACTTGAGATTAAATTGAAAACGATTAATAGTTTTACTCATATCAACAAGGTGTGTCTCCTCTTAAGGGGGCTCTTCTGCTAAAAACTCCAAAGTTAAGTGTGCTTGCACGAGAGTAGTCGTGGGATAGGTGACCCCCAGGAAGTTTCTCAGGGTGCATGAGTGGGGACAAAGTGCACGGAAAAAGGTTATTGGCGGTTTCAATTCGTCTTTGGGTCATCACTATTCAATCGTCTTTCAAGATTTGAAACCATTTGGTCGCTAGGTCATCACTATTCAATCGTCTCTGTTGGATTGGTCAGCAACTCTCATACTCGATTTCATTTCAATCCTTAGAACCTCAAGTGAATTTGGTCGAAAATGGTTGATTCTGAAATCTCATTTCAAATTTACCCAACTTTGGGGCTTTGGGCTGGACAGGCAACTAAGCTATAGGGGGCCGTCAATTTTTTTATTATTAGGGCCAAATACTCGGGCTTCTAATATTTACTTGCAAATTAGATGGTCTAGTGGACTTTTATTGGGGGCAGCTACCCCCTCCCCCTTGTTAGATTCGTCCCTACTATGCAACCATAAGTATTGCCCAAGAATAATGTGTACAATGCAACCCTTCGTATTGCCCATCAATAATTCATTACCACACATCCATACATATAGCCCATCAATAATGTGTATAATACAACTCTTTGTGTTGTCCAACAATTCGTTATAATACAACTCTTAAGTAAATCTTATGTGTACATATTGACATAACAATCAAGTCACTTAGGGTCATCCCTCTAGGTCTGTTCTTTTTTTGTAAACCAAAAGGCAAACCACCAAAATTAGTGAAGTAAATGCCGGGAAACATTTACCAGGTTTTATTAATGACAAAAAGATGTACATGAGAAGAGGGGGACCAAACCAAAACCTCTCCAGTGAAGGTATGCCTTCACAAAATACATGATTGAAAAAAGTAATTGAGAATTGGGGGGGGGGGGGGGGAGGGCTAGACCTGACCCAAAAAAATAAGCTTAATCTATTTTTCAAAACAAAACGATGCTAATTAAGTCTACGAAAATAGGCCAAACCCAAAGAATCAGTAATAAGAGCTTTCTTAACTAGATGAGGAACCTTAGTATTGCAAAAATAGGAAATTAAGCTGTTTTGATCAGATAAAGAAATATCTTGAGTGAATAGATGTGCCGTCCAATTGGCTTCACGATAGGTGTGTCTAAATCTTATCCCATTTAAGCCTGTTGTTGTCCGCATATCTTCTAAGCAACCTTTCCATCTTCCTTCATAAAAGAGGTCTTGCAGAAGAGAAATCAACCTCTGACAATCAGACTCAACTTCGAAACTAGTATATCCCTGTCTAGCGCCCATCGTATAGCAAAATCAGCAGCTCGAATCTCTTCTTCGAGCGCAGACTCCGCGCTAAGAAGAAAGCTCAGACCAAAAATCAGGGATCCCTCCATGTCTCGCATCACAACTCCACCTGCCACTCTATCAGGTGAGAAAGAGGCATCAACATTAAGTTTTAATGTATTTATAGGTCGGTTCCATTTTAACAATGGAGAATTGACCTTCAGAGTCAGACAGCCAAATGAGATGACCATCAGTATCTATTTCAGATAAGTTTTCTCCCCTGTTATTAATGTGATAGATACGTCTCCAGATAGTGGAATTAGAAACTCTAGGAATCATATCTCCATTTCGAGGATATCTAGTGTTGCAAAATTTAGCCCAAAGGGACTTATTTTGTTTCCATTTCCACCACAATTTGAGTGACTAGGCTTTCTCTATGTCCTCCAGTAAACGCAAACCCAGACCACCCTCTTCCACTGGAAGGCATAGATTACTCCAATTCATCCAGTGATAGCTATTTCTGTCTTTATCAGGACCCCAAAAGAAATGAGCCATTTTGTTTTCTAAGATTCTAATAACTTTCTTAGGAAAGAGGTCCACTGCCATAAAATGGAGAGGAATGGTGTTTAAAACATGTTTGATAAGAATGAGTCTTCCTCCTTTAGAGAGATTTTTCTGTTTCCAGGAAGAAAGTTTGGAACCAAACTTTCTAATGATTTCTTCACAATAACTAAACCTGTTTTCCCCCTTTTGCAAATATGATCCCAAGTACTTTAAGGGTAATTTGGAATGATTCATGCCCAACATATCCTCAATCTTCTTTATTCTGACAGCTTGAAACTTGGATGTAACAAATGTGTTTTTGTTAAGATTTACAGTTTGTCCTGTGGCCTTTTGATAATTACGAAGAAACTTATTAAAAGCCAAAATGGATCTAGAATCCCCATTAAGAAAAATAAGAAGGTCATCAACAAAGCTTAGGTGAGAAATAGGATATCCCTCCTTGCCCATCCAGTAGGGCTTGATCGAACTAGTATCCATAGCAGCTTTAAGACCCCTAGAAAAAGCCTCTGAAACCAAAATAAAAAGGAATGGTGAAAGTGGATCCCCTTGCTTAACACCCCTTTTAGGCTTAAAAAACCCATGAGCCACCCCATTAACAAGGATTGATAGGGAGGTACTTTTAAGAAAATTCATAATAATGAATCTGAACTGAACGTTGAATCCAAACTTTTCTAATATACCATCCAAAAAGGCCCAAGATACTTTATCAAAAGCTTTAGCCATGTTTAATTTGATAACCAAATTTTCACCTCTTACCTTCTTATCAAGTGAATGGTTCATTTTCTAGGCTATTAGAATGTGGTCGGATATCTCTCTGTTTTTCATAAACCTAGCATGTTCAATGGAAATTAACTTAGGCAAAATAGAATGGAGCGTGGTAGTCAACAGCTTAGTACAGACTTTACTTACAAAAGTAGAAAGGCATATGGGTCTAAACTCTGAAAAAGATGTAGGCCTATCCACTTTAGGAATAAGAACAATAAGTGAACTACTCATGACCTGGGGAATAGGATCCCCCAAGAAGAAATCTTGGACTGCCTTTAATAAATCTATTCCCACTAAATCCCAATGTTTCCTGAAGAAAACACCATTAAAACCATTAGGCCCTGGAGCACCATCTTTATTAAGATCCCAAACTGCCCTCTGGACTTCCTCTAGCTCTGGCAGATTTAGCAAATAATTATTATCTTCTTGATTAACTAAACAGGGAATGTGTTGCAGGATGTCGTCAAACTCCACCTCCTGGGAGACTGAAAAAAGATTTTGAAAGAAATCCATAGCTTCCTTCCCAATGTCTTCCTGGGATGAGAGTATAGCACCAGATGAGTCTGTTATTTGTGTAATAGCTTGCCTTTTTTCCTGATATTCACAAAGGTATGAAAAAGTGAGTATTAGCATCTCCCTTTTTTAGCCACCTTATATGCGATTTCTGCTTCCAGTATATACAATTTTGTTTTGTTTGGATAATAACAATCCTTTTTTAAGTGACCAATCTTCCTTGTTCATTTCTGATGGATAAACTTGAAAAGCCCTCTAAGCTTTATTAACAGCTTCCTCACAAAATTTAAGATCATCAAAAATGTTTCCAAAAGTGCTCTTATTCCATTCTTTGAGATCATTTTTTAAGCATTTAAGCTTATTGAATAAGCCCCTCATCCCCCCACCAAAGGAGTGCTTCTGCGAACTCATTCTAACAGTGCCTTTAAAAGTAGGTTGTTCCAACCACATATTTTGAAACTTGAACATTCTAGGCCTCTAAATTGTATAGTTTTTGCAGGTAAGCAACATGGGATTATGATCAGAAGAAGAGTTGTTAAGGTTATCCACCACAATAGAGTCAAAACAGTCCAGAAATGAAGAATTGAACATGAATCTATCTAACCTCCTCCAAAGTCTTCCATTTTTTCTTACACCAGTCCAGGTAAACTTACACCCTTGATAAGGAATATCAATTAGATTACAAGTGGCCATGCAGTCATTGAATTCCATCATACTGTCAATATTAGGAATAGAATTACTTTGGTGTTCATCATATTGACATATTGCATTAAAATCTCCACCAACCATGGATTGGAATTAGAAGAGGCCCAGGAGCATAACTGAGACCAAAGTAATCTCCTTTCCACATGTGTGTGCCCCATAGACTGCTGTAAACCAAATCTCTGAATTTCCAGAAGCAATTTTCATATGTGTAAACTGTTCTGCAAAAGAGAAGTCTGAAATATTTATATAATCTGAATCCCAAAAAAAAAACAGATTTTGTTCCTAGAGCAAGTAAAAACTTTACTGTAACCCAATTGCAGCTTAAAGAAATCAGACCTATTAATATAAACAATAGGTTCGATGATAACTAATAAATGAAGATTCCATTGCCTTTTCAGATCTCGTAACCTTGAGCAGGAAGAAGCAAGGCCACGAACATTCCACACGAGACAACTAATCATTGAGAGGGTGGAGCACAAGTTTTTGGGAGCTGTTTAGCAACATTTCTGGTAAGCATGGATGGTTCTTCATGAATTTCAGCATTAGGATTTTCACTTTTTCTTGGTCTGCCTCTTCTTTTCTTTGTAATAGGAATAAATCCATCATCTTGATAATATGATTCTGCTAACGTTTCTTTTGGTGATGATACCTCAAAAGGTACTTACTTCTTTATTAACATTCAAATTAATATCTTGGGAAACTGTTGAAATCCCTTCCTCTGTTGATATTTCCTCCATAAGTGTTTGCTTAGCCACATTCACATTCTGAGTATTACCTTTTGTAGGTTGTATATGGTGCTCTTGGCCAACTGTCACCTCATGCAGGTTATGTGAACCTTCTGCTATCCCTTTAGGACCGTTCATAGCTTAACTTAGACTTCAAACATGACTATTCATCAAATATGTCACCTTGAAGTACATTCAAGAACAATATCATGCCATCCAAATCTTTAGATCAATTCTAGCAAGAATCATAAACAACCTTGAACTAGTATCTTAATACCACTAGGTTGTTATTATCAAAATCAAATCTCCCTATCATGTGTGCTCCAACCTATTTAGAAGTACATGGTAGCTACACCGAAAAATATTTTCAATATATAATTATTCATTTCTCTATCCACAAATTTCATACATGAACTAGAAATTTATATTTCAACACAAAAGTTCATAAATTCAACTAGCACCATATTTTAAATAAAATTCAAAGTCTTGGATAGCGTCATAATCAGAGATACCATATTTTATTATGCATGAGGCATCATAATCCATGAAAATCACAATTTAAGCATTTAGCTAATCTCATGCTTAACACTCGAGTTATAAGCAAATATATGTCAATTTCCACCTCAAGCGCTGCCCCTTAAACTGTCCCTTCTCAATCCAGTGGTCAAAATCCTAGCCAAGGACGATTGAATATGGATTTTTTGCTTAAAAAAGGGAGTTAGAAGACTTCCCCCAAATGCTAGATCACCCCCTAACAGCTTGTATGAAAACAATCCTCTTGAAGGGTGTTTTCCGTCCAATTCACCTTCTAGCTTTCCAAAGTTCGTTCTAGGTTAATTAGTATCCTACCCTTTTGAATGATTAAATATCATTAGCAAGACGTAGAAGGGTGTTTGACCATTCTTTTTATTTTTCACATGCTAAAGTCGTATAGAACGCCCCCCAATGGTCTCCAATTATTTTTGAGAGGAAATATCTCACCTCATTGTTCGTCATTGTCACTAATGCCTTCCCTCCTAGTACTTATTTGCAGACTATAGTACGTGTGGAATAACCCCAAATGATTGTAGGAAGTCTCTCCATTATTTTCATTCTTAGCAAGTTGGGCCAAAATACTACCTAGATTGTCGTTATTGTTCCTAGTCCGACCCAACTAGTTTATAACACACACACACACATATATATATATGTGTGTGTGTGTGTATATATATATATATATATACGTTACATTATATTGGGTTCATATACATATTAGAATGACCCAACAATATATTATGGAGTCCTTGCTAATACTCTGGGACCAAAGAACTACTTACTGAATCAATTTATTAATTAAAACCTTAATTGTGGACAAGAGAAGGTGACACGTTTATTAAGAAAATTGGGTTTGTGTGGTTGATATTAAATTGATAAAGTAAGAATAAAGTAAGAATGATTTAGAGCCACACAATCTTTACCAAATTTGGTATGGGACAATCTTAGCGGGACTTCCCGAAAAGGTAAAATGAGACAATCTTAGCGAGAGTACATGATTAATAACTAAAATTACAAACCTGATCCCCGGCCGAGAACCGAGATCGGAGATCCAAACCCTAGTGACCGAGCCCTAGGAGTACCGAAGATTTAGAGAGAAGAAGGCTCTCACTCCGTTCATTTTTTTTGGAAGTTCTATTTCGCATGTCAAGGCGTTTTAATGTACGTATTCAATAATATCATATTAATGTGATCGCTAATTTAAAATTCTATGTTTAACTTCGTTACATTTTAAGTCATTTTTATCCTTAGAAAAACTAGATGCTGATATATTTTTCTTTCTTCCCAAAATACCAAGTAAAACGCAAAAGTTGTAAGCATAGCTTCCTATTGCTAGTTATTGGAGTCCTTGTAAATAAATATTCGTTCTGGTCCATTTTAATGCTGATTGATCTTTATGAATTACGTAGTAGTAATTGATACGGAGGAATTCAATTGTTGGCGTATCTTTCCTTTCCTAAAAAAATAATCAACCACACAATATTGAAGAACTGAATTTGTCCCACACCGATTTCTATAGAAGAAGACCGCTCGTTTCGTTATTATAAATAGGCTCTTCACTTTGCCTAACTCTTATACCTTTCTCGGCCTTTTGGCTAAGATCAAGTGTAGTATCTGTTCTTATCAGTTTAATATCTGATATGTGGGCCATTGGCCCACACGATATTAACTCAATTTTTTAGGGGAAGGGCCCAATGGGTAGCTTGCTGCTCAGTCCTTCTGCGTCGCCTTAGTGTTGCACTTCTACTTTGGCCTGGCGCACCCCTCCAAGTTTAGTCTGAAGCTTTGTTGTGATTTTTATTTCTCTATTGAAAATTAATTAAATGATTAAATGAAATTGGCCACTGTAATGTAGTGGAATTATTTAATTTTTTTCTCTTTATTCGTTCCATTAAAGTTTATCAGTTAGCTATTAAAACAATTAACAATGAATTAATTTGTTCAATTTTCATTTTCCTGCACGGTTTTGGGAATTCTTAAAAGCTTACTAGTTCTAAGAAGTTAAGAAGCTATAATCATAGTAATTATATTGGGTGACTTAGTTTTAATGTTTATTGGTACTAATGTACTCTCATTTGTGGAATTTTTTGAAAGTAGTCTTATATTTTTCCATACCATTTGTTTTAGTATTATTTTTGAAAAATTCTTTGAGATGAAGTATTCTTAATTGAAGTATAACAGACGAGCTTCGTTGGGCTTATGAAGTGCAATATTTTAAAGTGTAACAGACGAGCTTCGTTGTGCATCACGTTAAAGTAAATGCGACGTTGTCACGTTAAGTCTTGTTCTTATTTATACGGAATATATATATATATATATATATATATATATATATATATATATATATATATATATATATATATATATATGTATGTTTGTGTGTGTGTATCAGTATATGTATATACTAGTATGTTATATTTTCAGGTTACAGATGAGACGAACATCTAACTTTTGCCCCATTTAATTAATTTATGAGTTCAAAATTTATTTGTTTAAATAAAGATGTCTTAATTGGACTGGTTTCAAGCTATCGGACTTGACCCAACTAGGTTTAAAGTTTTACAAACATTACCAGATCAAATCAGACTTACACAGAAAAGCAAGATGAGATCATATCAAAAAGTTAAAAACATTCTAACTGAAGTAATAGAGATGGTTCATGACTTGTTCATGTGTGTATTCAATTATTCATATATCCTCCTTCCATTAAAAGTCTAATGTGTCTCTTTCATGCGGCTGAATATTTCTCATTACTTGATAAACCTATCATTAATTGATTTGCTCTTATATGTTGCATCCCACACCGTTTATTACAGAGAAAGCCGCTGGTTCTTTTGGTATAAATAGAGCTCGGCACAAGTTTAACAAGCTCATACCTTTCTTGACTTTTGGTCTAAAATCAAGTACTCCCTCTGTTCTGTTGGAATGTTTCTGGTTTGATCTACACAAATATTAAGGAATTAAACTTATCAGGAGATAAATTTTACTGTTTTGCACTATTTGACCTTGTTTTGATGTAGGATAATTTTCCATTTAGGGAAATGGTAACTTTCTAATGGGACATTCAAAAAAGTAAAGCGGAAACATTCCAACGGGACAGAGGGAGTATATGATATGAGGGCCATTGGCCACATTAAGGGGAAGGGCCCATTTTATTATTGACCTTAGCGTTGCACTCCTGCTTTGGCCTGACGTACCCCTCCAATTTTATTCTGAAGCTTTGTTGTGATTTATGTTTTGCAATATTAATTTCTTTGAATTCACTAGTATAGTACTCGTGCATACGTACAAGGAAATTAATTTGCTTTTGTAATTAATTAGATCATGATTACAAGTAAAATATTAAACTTACATGTTAGAGATTTTGGAAAACCTCTTTAAATACAACATTCGTAGTAGTGTCTAATGATTTTACATCCTCATCACGTATTAAAATCTTCAATCCATGTTTGCTCTGAACTCTGGATAATGCCACATACAATTGTCAATGACTAAAAATAGGTCTAAGCAGGTATAATCCAACTCTTTCCAGTGACTGCCCTTGAGATTTATTGATTATCATTGCATATGAGACCATTATAGGTTTAAAAGGCCATGGTGATTGAGAAGGAGACATACACATTCGAGGTATGTAAATCTCATCTCCATCATAACTTTCAGACATGATTCTTGCTCCAATGACATGATTTCCAAGTCTTCTGATAATCAATCTAGTTCCATTACATAGTCCTTCTGACTGGTCACTGGTCTATATTTCTTAACAACATTACTGGAGTCCCAACCTTAAGCCGTATCTTGTGATTTGGGAGATCTGATGTTCTCAAGGAATTTAGAAACTCTGGTATCAACACTTCAAATGCTTCTGCTTAGACTACATCTGATTTGTCTACAGAATCGCAACTTAAATATTCTCTTTCTTCTCCTGTAGTTATACAAGTTCAGTAGACTTAATTTAAATATTAAATTTATTTAAGTATTTATTTTGTTAGTAAATAAGCAAAGTAGCATTTGTATAATATTACATGGGAGCAAGGAAAGAACATAGTCATTAATTTTATCAACAATTTCAATAGTCGATGCCAAGATAGCTCTACATTTGAGGAATTCCTCATTTTTGTATTGTTCCAGCAAGTTAGGATATGTGCTTCGGATTATTGCATCTATTGAATCATCAAATTCTTTAATCAAGAATTCATCTAGAATTTTTATTTTTGCATAACCGTCGTTTGGCTCTGATATTTTTCCATCCCCCACATCCAATATCCATTTTGAAAATTCTTTGAGCTCAGTAGCACTTGTCATATCCAAACTATTTTGGAGTTGCATATTTTTAGTAAGAGACAATACCTATGAATAAACAAAAAAAATACTTGATTCTGATTATCATAACTTATAAAGTAATTATTCCAAAAAAATTCTAAAGTGATAATTAGTGTTAAAATTGAATTTTCTAAAGTATCGCAAAATTAAACATATTAGTTATGATACTGATGGAGTAATGGGACTAGGCCCAGAGCCTAATCAGCCCAAGCCCCGAACTTGGACCCATGGATCCAAGTCCATAACCTGGAGCCTGCCAGCCAGCCCGACGGGGAGCCTGGTAGTCCGACCGACCTCCTAACCCGGAAGAGTAACGGTCGAACAATTAGTGCGCTATTAATTATGTATTTAATTCCGTATGAATGTTGTAATTAATTAGTCATTATTAACGGTAACAGTTACGATTTGTATACGCCTATAAAAGGCGGGTTGTAATTCAGATCAGGAGAGACAATTTCTATATGCTATTTCTGGTTAACTTTCCATATTTGTACTTTCCTAATTCTTGCTTGAGTGTCGTGCGTAGCTTTCCTAAAAGCCTACGAGCGTCTTATTTTGGACCAACATTGGTGCTTTCATCGAGAGCCTCTATTGATCTCTCACATCACTTTAGTAGGAAAAAATTCAAGAAATTCATCCCAATCCAAGGTGCTACAGTCCCCCTTCCTCCTGTTCTCTTCGCCAATCACAGTTGGATGCCGTGCGCCGACGTCGCTGCTGGTCTCCCTCATCGCCATGCCTATTCATGAGATAGACCTTCAAATGGGCGCCCACCTAACATTGAACAACGGACTTATGAAATCTGATCACTCACGTACACCGGACGAGCACACACACTCGTACACTGGCCGAGCACACACACTCGTGCCACCGGGTCATGTCATATGGGTGTGGCGATTAATAAGCTTCAATATAAATGTTAATACCGCACACTCTTGACTTCATACGAGTTCTTGCGTGCTCTTACCCTTTCCAAGTGCATCACACTCCGACCTCAGGGGACGAGTCACCCGTTCAAAAGTTTTTACTTGAGGGTTCAAACTACTAACCTCGGGCGGCGAGTTAAACTCTTATTAGGGGCCTAGAGCCACGCTGTTCCGAGCAATTTTGTCACTTAATTGACATTCACATTTCTCGAAAAGGTTGATATACTTTAGTTCTTTGGGGTTGGATTATCCATTCGAGTGAGGAGTCCGACTCACTTACTCGCGGATTCAATCTTTCTTCCGGAGACTGGGTTGAGGCCTAACTTGGGAACTAGATGTCATTCTTTTCAAATAGTGAGTCCGACTCACTTACACACTGAGCCGTGGTTCGACACCAGGCCAGATGCTCTATTCTACACTAGTTTCTTTTATGTGTAGGTTTAACTGAATGAAGTGGGGGACTGAGGGTCATACCGTCTTCAAGGAAGCAAATGACAAACCCGACGAGTCTGAGCCCGACGAGAAGAACAGTTCTAGCCATCCTATTCGCAGATGGCGATCATTGCAATAAAGGCTGAGGATCTCACCTCTTGCTTCATCTTGGGGGCGTCAGATGTACTCTTTTTCCCTTCATTAGGATTTTTTTCCCATTGGGTTTTTTCCTAATGAAGGTTTTTAATGAGGCATCTCCCCAACATGGATAAGGGTGGGGATTTTCTAGTCTCGGAGAAGAGCAACTGACTTGGACTACTTCCTCTTAGTCGAGTCTACTACTCGACTAAGGGAGTGGGGGACTCGTGATGGAGTAATGGGACTAGGCCCAGAGCCTAATCAGCCCAAGCCCCGAACTTGGACCCATGGATCCAAGTCCATAACCTGGAGCCTGCCAGCCAGCCCGTCGGGGAGCCTGGCAGTCCGACCGACCTCCTAGCCCGGAAGAGTAACGGTCAAACAATTAATGCGTTATTAATTATGTATTTAATTCCGCATTAATGTTGTAATTAATTAGTCATTATTATCGGTAACGGTTACGATTTGTATACGCATATAAAAGGCGGGTTGTAATTCAGATTAGGAGAGGCAATTTCTATATGCTATTTCTGGCTAACTTTCCATATTCGTACTTTCCTAATTCTTGCTTGAGTGTCGTACGTAGCTTTCCTAAAAGTCTACGAGCGTCCTATTTTGGACCAACAGATACTAAAAAAGTGAGTTTAATACCTGACAGTCTTCCCATAGATACGAAGAATTGATTGTAGCATTAACAATGTTTGAACGGCTTCCTCCAGGAATAACGGGTAAAGTTTGAATTGTCTAAAGTCTCCTCCAAAGACAATCACTCTTCCTCCGAATGGTGAAATAGAATTACCATCATTATTAATGATGTCATTTAGGCTTCTGTCTAATGCTTCAAAACAAAATTTGTGAGCCATTGTTGCTTCATCCCATATTATCAACTTTGTCTGTTTCAATAGCTCTGCAAGTTCACTCCCTTGATGTATATTGCATGTAGAGTTCTCCAAAGTAGGAACTCGGATTGAAAAGTTAGTGTGCATTTCTGCCTCCAGGTAAGAGTAGAGAAGCTATTCCACTGGATGCGACAGTTAAAACAATATGACGCTGAGAACGTAAGGCAGAAACTAGCGTCCTCCACATAATTTTTTTTCCTGTACCACCATAACCATATAAAAAGTATACCCCACCTTTTTGGTTAGTCACAGCTTCCATTATTGTTTCGAATATGGCTTTCTGTTCATCTGCAATACTAGCATCAAAATATATGAATGAAATCATTTTTCTCTTGACACTCAAAACCATTTAATCTGACTTATAAATCATATGAATTGTAGTTGTCTTACCGGTAAGAGAAGCATACAAACTTTGAAACTCCTCACGCAACTTGGATATATTCTGCATAAATAAGCCTATTTCCTAGTTGTTCCGTGATATATCCATTTGGATATGGTATTGAGGGAAAGTCTTTTAGACTTTTTCTCTTTTTTTTTGCATCAATTTCTCAATCTCCACAAGAGTTAAATTTTGCAACTCTTGATCACTCAGCTGTAAATCTACAAATGTAATAAACACAATTGTATTAGTAATCATAAGAAGATGTTCATGTGTATGTGTCCACTCTCATTATGTCTTTATTGTAAATAATTTAATTTGTCACAACAATGCAAATGAATGACCAATGAGATACACATGGAATTAAAATTATGAAATAGTTTTATTTGAATATGTTAATTTCCGAAATAAAAAATATCAATGCATTGATTTAAAAATATATTTTATTTTTATATGTTAATTGATATGTGAACTAATTTTAATACTTAATGTAAGAAAAGTTGTTTGGGGTAATCAAGAAATAATGTTTGTTTATGATAATAAGAAGTAATTAATTTCATCTTTTACTACAATGCAAATGAATGACAAATGAGATATGCACGAAATTAAAATTATGATATAGTTTTATTTGAATATGTTGATTTATGAAATAAAAAAAATCAATGTATTGATTTAAAAATATATTTTATTTTTATATGTTACTTGATACGTGATATAATTTTAATACTTAAGGTAAGAAAAGTTGTTTGAGGTATTTAAAAAATAATGTTTATTTATGGTATTAGTAAATAATTAGTGTCATCATTTAATAATATTTTTAATTATATAATTAGTGAAAATTTAAAAAGGGTAACAAAGATCTGGTAAATTAATCATATATACTCTATGTGAATTCTAATATAAGGTGAATGGAATTTAGTTGGTAGGATAAACACCATGAAAAACTTGTCTTAATACAAATGATAGGTGAAAAGCTAATTTTTAATTGATTTGTATACCTGGGATATTTGAGAGCCTTCATTGTTGATACAAAATTGCCAACCACTGCCAAGTTTGTTCCCTACATGCTCATGTCTGCTCACGGGGAATGATAAGAGCAGAGTTACAAATAATTTTCTCAAGTAATGTCCTGATGCCCAATCCTTAACTTCTTTTAATGCTCCAATGTATTCTTTATCATCACCAAGCAATCCCGCTGCAAAACACGCTTCTCTAGAGCTCGGATATTGAATGTTGGCAACCGTCCTAATATCCTCATAACAACGTGTCTCTTTTGTTACAGTGAGCATCATTCTTAAATAGAATAGTTCACGTGTTGTTGGAGGTACCCAGATCAGTCTACCAATAGTGTAACCAGTGGCAGACCTACTAAGGGTCCCACGGGACCCCATGTACTAAAATAACACATATATATACTATATACTCCCTCTGGTTCCAAAAGATCTTGACACTTTGACTTCACAGTTTTTAAGGAAATAAACACTGTTTGACACTGTTTGGCACTGTTTGACACTGTTTTGTGTAGATTTATTTGCCAAATAAGGAAAATAAGGAAGTGTAAAGATCTTTCTGGTACTGCTAAAAATGGAAAGTGTAAAGATCTTTCAGATCGGAGGGAGTAATTTTTATATAAAAATTAGCTAAGAAGCATATATATAAAAGAAAAGGTTAACTGATACGTAAAGAATGGATGGGTTTAATGGTAGCATGCTTTGCGTTCAAAGCTCTACCACTTTGGGAGGTACGTGGATCGACTCTCCTCTATGAGTTTTTTTGTGAACTTGAAAGATCAAAGTAGTCCTTTTACACTGGGCGCATGTGTGCTTTTTTTGTTTCCTTTTATACTAGTATACCTGTGCATACGCACGGGAAAGAGCCGTCGGTGCATATTTTTGTACTCATGATCTAATTGCAAATAAATATATAAATATTCCCCTCTTAATAATTAGCAAGATTATCTTCTTATATCTAAAAGCACAACATATGAGAGAGATAATTCTCCCGTTCAATTGTTAGCTTACATATCTATTTATTATACGTAAAAGCAGTACATATCGGAGAGAAAATTTTCTTACTCAATTGGTAGTTGGATTATCATAGTTAAAAGAACTACATATGAGAAAGAAAGTTTGTCCGTTCAATTGTTAGCAAGTTTGTCTTCTTATCTTCATATATCTAAAATCGCTACATATGAGAGAGAAAATTATCTCGTTCAATTTTCCCGCTCAATTGTTAGCAAACTTATATTGTAATATGTAGAAGAAAAAATTGTCCTAAATAGGACTAAAACATAGTTAAAATTCCAAAATAGGACTTGAAATTTATTATTCCCTAAATAGGACATCTGATTACATTTTTGCCCTTTAATTAAACCATGGATTCGCCAACTCCAACACGCAGATGCCATCTGCGATGAAGAAACAGAGATGCGTAGAAAGCATCCCTAATTTACGATCTCATATGCGATGAAGAAACAGAGATGCATAGCAAGCATCCCTAATTTCCAATCTCCCAAAGCTCCAATGAAGCCAGGTAATTTTCTCCAACTCCTTTCTCTTCTTCTCTTCTTCTCTTCTCCTTCCCTTATCTTCTCTTCCACTCTTCTTTTCTCTCTTGTACGACTCTGGTCTATTTTAGTTTTCTTGATTTTCACTTTAACACTTCTTACTTTTGAGATTTTAAACAAATTATTTTGATTTAGATTTTGGATGAGAAATTAAAACAAGGTTCCGAAATTGATTTGTTTATTCATTTATAACTAATATGTATTTGAAATTTTCACTTTTTGGATTTGAGAATGCCACTTTTATGTCATCTTTTTATAGGATGATTGCATAATTTCCTATGAAAATGTCACAACTATCAATGTGAAAATGTCATCTTTTATTATTATAGTCATCTTTAAATGTTAGCAAATTTATCTTCTAAAATACCTAAAAGCACTACATATGAGAGAGAAAATTCTGTTTTGTGGCTTTAGTTTTTAGTTTGGGAGGAAGCAAGCACGCTAACTTGGCCCATAATAGTTTTGAATCTATCTCATGGTCAGCGATTAGTCTTGCTCATTATTGGGCAGTCTATTTTATATCTAATCAGATAGTGAGGTTGCCTATTATTGGCTATTTTATATTCTATTATTGGCTATTTTATATTCTATTTTATAAGCGGAACACAACTTTTATTAAGATCAGTGGCTCGAGGCCGAGGGTGGTAATCTTATCAACAACCCATTTAGGAGTTAGCTTCTCAGTGAGCTTCTGACCTTGGGGTGGAGGCTTTTCCCGTCTGCACCTTCTTCGGCATGCTGAGAGCTCGTGACCCATTATGGTGTGAGTTTGTACGCGCCGTTCTTGATTGCGGCATTGATGATGTCGGGCCCTTCGTATCTTGAGGGCTAATTTTCCGCCGTCTTTCGGCTTGCTGGCTTCCCTTCAGTGAAGGACACAATCAGTGGATGTGACACTTCTTTAGCTGGGGCTCCTCGAAGCCCTCGTCATCGTTGAGCCTCCCAATTTCACGCTTCTTCGTCAAGGTGTCCCCTTCCTGATTCCCAGTGTTCACCCAGGTGTTTTTCCTTGGGGTACCTTTAACAAATTGGTGGAGTTCACCCCGTTGAATCGAACGCTCAATGGCTTTCTTCACCGTGACACAATCGTGTGTATCGTGGGAGGTGTTCTTGTGGTAATGGCAATAAGTGCCGCCCTGGTGGACGGCGTAGATTTCTTTCACCGACCGAGGATCCCTGGGAAAGAGATCTTGTTCCTCTGCGTAGTCGAGGATGGTGCTCACCGAGTGTGTGAGGGGAGTCCTTGGCATGTCCAACCTCGGCCGCCATGGGCGCTCCTTCCGGCCCTGGCGGGCCTGGTCTCCATGATCTCGGCCCCCGACTGAGGGTGCGCTTGGAGGCGGCGCATTGTTTGTCTTCTTTGATGGCTGGCCTCCATCCTTCTCATGGGAGTGGAGCTCATCGGTGTCAGCATACAAGCTCTCTCGCTGGAGTGCCTTGGTGTATGACCTCGATGGGTCAATGATGAGGCTCCTCGTGTAGGGGCTACTGCGGAGAACGTCCTGAAAGAGGACGAGGAGGGTTCGCTCATCGGCACCTTCGACCTCATCGGTCTCCTTCGTCCATCGGTCGATGAAAGACCGAAGTGATTCATCGTGTTGCTGTTTGACGGAGAGGAGATGGGAGAAATGTTTCTTCACGTGCTTCCTTCCAGCGAAGTGGGTGAGGAAGCGTTGGGCAAGATCTTGCCATGAGTCCACCCTTCCTTCAGGCAGCGCGTTGAACCACTCGTACGCTGGTCCCTCAAGAGCGGAAAGGAACCAACGACAGAGATATTCATTGGACGCATTCACCATCAACATGTTGTTCTAATAGCGGCTGAAATGCTCCCGGGAGTCGTTGCGACCGTCATAGGACTTGATGGCATTCCCCCAGTACTTCTCGGGTATTGGGACCGAGAGCACCCTTGTGGTGAAGGGACTTTTTGTTCTGATTTGGATGACGGGGTCACCACATCCCTCAACCAGCTCCCTCTCCAAGTCACTGACCTTGTGCAAGAGTACGTTGAAGCCGGGATCCCTGGACGTGTTGGCCGTAGGGGTAGCGGGCAGCTGTTTGACCTCCATCTGGACGAGCCTCCTTTCGAGCTAGGCGATGACCTCGTCCCGGGGGTCCTTGCTGAGTTCTGGCGCGGGCTGCATGGGCCATGTTGATGTGACGACGTGTGACATCCTTATGCAGCTTCCCATTGCCTTTGTCAAGACGGGGCCGATCCGCTGATCGGGATACGGACCCTAAGCTCTCCCTCGACGAGCCAGGCTTACGTTCACCAATCCGTCCCGCTAGCCTCTCCTATGCTGGCTGACGATGCGCGTCCCCTAACCTATTGAAGGCCGAGGCTCTACGCACTGAGGTCGGTCCAACTCGGGGACGGGACACACTGTTGGAATGAGACGAAGACGTATCCTAGGGCTCGACCCCCTCGACGTTGCCCATCTTCATGACCAATGACTGAGGTGCGGGAGGCGGTGGAGTAGTGTTCTCCCCCGTCCTTGGCATCAGTGCGCTGAGGACGGTGGGGTTTTGAGCCAGGCTGACTATGATGGCCGATAGGGCAGCCTGGAGCTGAGGATCAACGGTGGGAGTATCCTGCTGCCCCGATGCATGGTCACCTTTGTCCATGCGCTTTTTCTCAAGGCCGATACGGGCGTCTTGAGCGTTGTCGTTAAGCTGATTGCGAAGGTCTGTCGTGGGGTCGATAGTTTCCTGGAAGATCTCCTCGTCCCCTGCCTTATCGGACGAGGCGTCGCCAGAGTGCTCCCGACCCCCCTGAGTTTCAGGAATCGCCTTGCCGATGAGGTTACAGTTTGACCTTGTTCTTCCCATAGCCAGTTAGCTGTGCTTGGTAGCGATGAAGGATGCTAACTTGATTGTTCTAGCTCTCAATGAAAGCATCGAATGATAGAGTATTAACTTTTAGAGAGAAGTGAGAGCTAGAGAGAAAAGTGATTTGAATTAATGAATTTCCAACCCTTTACATGGCTCCCATGTGTAGTATTTATAGGGGAAATATGAGGTGGGCTCTCAAGTCTTGGGCTTGATTGGGAGGCGCATTACAATATAAAGCCTCCATTGGGCTGATTACATTAGAAGTCTAGTTCTGTGAGTTTCTTCTGATGGGGACGCTCGATCAATGGAGACCTTGCCAGAATGGGGACGCTCGGCCGATGGAGACCTTGTCAGGATGGGGACGCTCGTCCGATGGAGACCTTGCCAGGATGGGGACGCTCGGCCGATGGAGACGCTCGACCGATGGAGACCTTGCCAGGTTGGGGACGCTCGGCCGACGGAGACCGACTGGGCGACAACTGTGCTTCCTCTTAGTCTTTTGAGAATGTAGGTCATGGGGTCTGGACCCATATACTCTATCATGATGTAACACCTCAATAGTGATATTTATTAAATTGAAAAATGAATTATATTATATTTATTTCAACTTTTATCAAAGAAGTATTGAACTTACATGTAATGTAGAAGATATGAATAATATAATAGGTAAGCACTCAAGAGTATAATAATTAACTAAGGACGGAACAATAATTACACTTTCAAAAGAGATAATAAATACATGCCCTTAAATTTTATGTGTGAGAGTAAATATACCTTTTAAAATTTATTTTGAAACAACTCAACACACATTTTTGAGAATGTTTAATGCTTTTTACGAAATGAAATAACTTTTCGTTATTTATCATACATGCGTTTAATTGTAAGTTGAATAATAATATTCTACAAAAACATTTCAATATGCGCCTTACATTATTATAAACAAAAATAATTATACACTTTTGTCCCGTGCATCGCATAGGTACAACACTAGTTTTATGAAGAACGTACATGCTAAATGTTTCATCAGAAACTTCACCGGAAAGGCCCTCAAACGGGTTCGCCGGAATGACGGTTCTGATCCTCATCACTTCTCTGAATTTAAACAATAATTGTTTCACCATTATTGTTTAGTACTTGAGAAATTATGAACTAAGACATTTTCGATACTTAAATTACTTTAATATTACCACCGTTACATTTTTGCAAATAAATCCCATAATTTATATCATATTTTAATGTTTCAATTACACACTTATAAGGTTGATATCCTTCCACACCTCTTAAATAGTTAACTATACACAATTCATGTGGTCAACTTAGAGCATCTTTAATGAACGTGTGGATTGTACTCCATAAAAAATGAACACATCAACCGTATAAAAAGGCCGTGAAGCTGACTTGGATCCACACAGAATTAAAAGAGTATTTTCTCTCCATCAACAGAGTTTTAAAGAATTAGCCGCAGGTTGCCATTTGTTATAACTCTTCTTCTACCTTTCTTCTCATCTCCAAAGGCATACCTCAAGGTCATGAACAGATAATCAGTAATTTCATGATTTCATCTCATGACATAGCCGCATGTTACGTCTCCTATCACACACACATGTGTGTATATGTATTAATGTATATGTATATATATGTATTTATATTTGTTGCACATTTAATTTATGTAATAAAGGTGTGCTAGTAGGATGTTTTTACTTGGACTGTAATTTGCTGGTCTGGTCTGATCTGAACTGGTCTGGTCTGATTTCTTTGTATTTTTATAACTATCCAAGTCTGGTCTGGTCTGAACTGGTCTGGTCTGATCTGGTCTGGTCTGGTCTGGTCTGGGACGAATTACGGTCTAAGTAAAAACATCCTAATAAGCATAGTGCAGGTCCTAGTAAAATTGGAACCAATACTTTGTTCAAGCTAAGGCAGAACAATACAGAGGCAAAACTAATTATAGAAAAAATGAATTTGGAATCAATACATTGAAAAAGCTTCGTCAAAATCTAATAGGTTTGTAGATGGCACTAAAATTACCGATGATTTTAGTTCATACCTTGTAGTTTTTTTTATAGTTTATCAAATTAAAAAATAAAAAGAAAAAGTTAAATAATACTACCTCCGTTCTCTTTTAATTACAACATTGAACTTTTTGCACTATTCACACGTTCTACTTTGACTACATTTTATTTAGTAATAATGTATATTTAATTAAATTTTAAAAAATATATTTAAATTCCTCTCATTTTGAATTTTCAAAATCTGAATTTTTTAATTTTTTTACTAATAAGGAATGAAAGATATTAATGGTCAAACTTGTGCATTGACAAGCGTGAAAAGTGGACCATTGCAATTAAAAAAGAACGGAAGAAGTATCTACAACTTTGAGTTCAAGGAAGATGTGCAAAAGATACCGGGGAACACACTTTGGGCGAAAAAGTTATGTTCTGCCGTCAAATATCTTCGTAAAAAATTAACACGCGTAAATTTTGTGCTGACTAGTCTGTTTCACAGACCTTCTGAAAGTAGACGGTGTGCTTGACAGTATCCGGTACAACTCAACACCACGTCATAAATAATAGATAGTGCCATTGGAGAAGTTATTTTTATCCCAATGTTTATTTCATCTTGGTGGCAATGCATTTTTATCAATCCAAATCTCTATTAGAGAGCTCTTAATTAACACCTTTTAATCATTCAGATATAAACCAAATTTTATTCATTTTCAAATTTGAATTTTGCGTGATTTCTTGATGTGTAATCTGTAGACATCATGAACATTCCCTAGCTATTAGCCTATTTTTTTTTTCTATAGGGCTTGAAGTGGGCATTAGCAATAAGAGGAATAACCGATGTGTGACGTTGATTATATTCTTAAATTTAAAAATAAAACAACTTATTCAGTCATTAGTTGTGTGAACATTATGATACATTACCTATATATCAACACATCAACCGAAAAATTCTCATTAAACTACCATTTATCTCAGTTACATATGAAACATTTAACTCAAGTATTGTATAATAATTATCCATCATTTTGATACTTTAATACTGTACATAATTAAATTTCGACCCCTCTCACACATTTTTCTGGCTCCGCCCCTGCCTATATGAGAGTCACCTTTAAACTATAATCTTGAATCAAAGATATAGTAATACCGTTATACCATCAAAAGTCTACTGGCAATTTTGTGGAATCAATACGCGTGTGTTTTATTATCAATCGACGATTTATTCTTGTTCTTTCTTTATCCCACACCGTTAATTACAGAGAAAGCTGCTGGTTTCTTTGGTATAAAAATAGCTCTGCACAAAAGTTTAAACTCATACCTTTCTCGGCCTTTTGGCTAAGATCAAGTGTAGTATCTGTTCTTATCAGTTTAATATCTGATATGTGGGCCATTGGCCCACACGATATTAACTCAATTTTTTTAGGGGAAGGGCCCAATGGGTAGCTTGCTGCCTCAGTCCTTCAGCGTCGCCTGAGTGTTGCACTTCTGCTTCGGCCTGGCGCACCCTACCAATGTTACTGAAAAGTTTTTTCGTTTAAACAGTTTAGGGTATAAATTTGGATCCTTTTACGGCAATTCTAGTTTGTTCGTTTCATCAACTTTTTTTCTATGCTTGAAATAGAATGACAAATCTATTTGGTACAATATTTTCTTGAGTATTACTATTCTAAATTTGTGAATAAACTATAACTAAAATAACAATAGTTACAAACTAATAAATATTCCCACATCATTTATATAAAATCATAAATTCGTAAGTAACATAAACTATAAATAAATGACGTATAATTTATCTAAATTCGTAAACACACTAACTAAAAATAATAATGTAATTAATAGTCTAAAAATATTTAGGGATGTGATCGGTCCCGTCTTGGTCTGGTTTTCGCTAAATCCAAAAATTACCCGTAAGGTCCGTTGGCCCACACGATATTAGGGAGTTGAAAATTATGGATCAGAACAAGGTCCGTTGTTTTCAGTTCAAGTCAGGTTTCGATAGATCGGGTTCGATAATGGTTCAGGTAGGGCCGATTAAAGCCCAGATAAGAAATCTATCACATTGCCCTGTATATTTTAAAACATACTCCATATTTTCACATAAAATTACTCAAATATACAAATTACAAATAATAACACAAATCAAAAAAATTATTGATGGATTATAGGTATCCAAGTATATATAAAATGGGAGAGATTTGAGCATATAGAGAGGAAGATGAATGAATAGTGGTATTGAGAGTTATGTTCTAGGGTTACAAATGGCTCCAAGAGGAGTATAAATAGGGAAATAATGGGTCGGGCCGCTAATATGGGCCCGGTAGCCCAACTACATAAAAGACTAATCTAGTACATAGTTACATACAAATGACATATAAGGAGTACAATAATACAAATGATATCCGTAAGATGTGTGTGGGCCGCTGTCCGGGCCCAATAGTCATGAGACCCAGGGGTCCGAGTCTATATACTCTATCAGGAGTCCCCCACTCCCTGAGTCGAGAGTTTTCGAGGCAAAAGGGAGTAGAACTATGTGCCAATATGTCGTCGTCTGGTGAGTAAACTTCGTGAATTTTTTTGAATTTCTGCTTCTTTAGTTAACGGAGGCGCTAAGTCCCCCGCTCTTCCAGACCCCACTCCTCGAGGTGAATGTAGTGAGGTGAAGAGGAGTAGAATGGTGCATGTCTCGGGATGTCTTCAATAGGGGCCGATGGTCGACACCTTTTCATCCACAATGAGGAGATGTCTCGTTAAAAACCTCATTAGGAAAAAACCCAGTGGGAAAAAATCCTAATGAGGGGAAAAGAGTACATCGGATGCCCCCAAAATGAAGCAAAAGGGGTGAACCCTTCGGCCTGGGCGTGGAACTGCAACCGTCGGCATCTGCTAAGGAGATAACCAAGATCGGTCCTCGTATGTGCGTAGCTCCGCATGATAAGTAATCCTAGTCATCAAATAAAGATGACTAAGAGATAGGTCGAGTGACCGTCCATAATATAATGTCCATGTCATCAAATAAAGTGACCGAGATATGTGGCCGAGAGGCCTATAAGAAGTCCAAGCCATCAAATAAAGATGACCAGAAGAGGCGGCCAAGTGGCCGGTATGATGTCATCATTTAGGTTCACCTATGCATTCAAATAAAATTGTTATATTTCTAGAGCTTATAATTCGCTATTGGATTTGGACCTACATTAAGTAGCCTCACATTTTCAAGTTGGAGCTCTATCTAGGTTTCTATGCCTAGTTGGAGCGTGGCACGCATAAAGGATTGAACCTACCGCTGGGGATTGCAGTTCATTTCCGATAGTTAGAGGGCACACATAACTCATACATAACATAGAAACTACCGTGTGTATTAGATAACATTTGGATTGGGAGCTTACCATCCACACTCGTTTGACGTGACCCGGTGGCGCGAGTGTCTGTGCTCGCCCGGTGTACGCGAGTGCTCGGAATTTCATAAGTCCGTTTTTCAATTTCAAAAAAATACACACTATTTAAAAAAAATAATGGTAATAAATTAATAATCTAGCTTAACTTGCCACTCAAGTTCGTAGCTGGGATCCGCTAGACGCTATTTACGAGTCTTTTCATGGATGACTTGCCCCTCGAGATTGAAGTTTGATGCTATATTATTAAAATATTTCATTTATGACCTTTTGGAAGTCTTCAAAAGTAATGATAGTAAATTAATAATCTAGCTCAACTCGTCACTCAAGTTCGTAGCTGGGATCCGCCAGACATGCGCATTTAAGGGTCTTTTAACGGATGACTCGCCCCTCGAGATTGAAGTTTGATGCTATATTATTAACGGATGATCCGCCAGACTCGCCCCTCGGATGACTCGTTTCCTTTGGGTGGCCAATGAGGGTGTTTGCGCACTCTTTTGGCCGTTGCTGGTTGGCCTTCGTGTTCTTGGCCGAAGGGCCCGTCAAGATTAATTGTTGGCGGAGGACGATGAGTGTCCTTGCCTCTAGTGGCTTGTTGGCCGTCGCTAGTGACGTTATGGGCCTTTGGCCGATGAAGTTCCGTTGTGCTGTATGGAATGATGTGGCCATGCTTTGTGGTTACCTTGTTTGCATTCTCTTTTGTTTTGTTGAGGCCGGTGTAGTCCCCCAGTCCCCCACTGCTTCAGGCCGAAGAGTGTGAGGGGTGAAGGAGTTGCTTGAGTCCCCGGCCGAAGCGGTTTCGCCGTAGTCCCCCTGAATCCAACCCTCATGGCGATTTTCTGGCCAAGGTAACCCTGTGGGAGAACCCTTGTGTGCAGATCGCTTGTAGAGAGTTATCATCAAGGGTTATTACGAGGAGCCGATGGCTTTTGGGCTCTTAGGTCCTTTGATCTTGTGGCCGTTACGTTCCTGGCCGTTGCCGTCTCCTTATTGTTTGGAAGTCGTGATCTTGGCGAGCAAGTGGGACGTAGTGGGCGCTTGCTGGCATTTGTAAAGCCGGTGAGCGTGTGTAGGCCGTAGAGTCCGTCCTGCCAGTGGGCTGTTGATATTGAGTTTGGTCCGTTGGTGACGTGCTCGCCCCCCATTGGTGGCCGTTGGTGTGGCCATTGGGGGGGTGCCACGTGTAGTGACCGTTGGGTGGGGGGTTCTATAAATACCCCTCCCCCTCCGACGAGAAAACGTATTTGCATTCTGAATTTGTCGAAGTGCTGGCCGATTTTCTAGAGAGATAAACTCCCAAGCCCGTTCTTCGTGTTCTTCGTTGTTCAAGGTTAGTGTTCATCGCGATCTTCCTCATTTTTCATACTTTGCTTCCTAGGTTGTTGATCTAGTGTTAGGCGTTTGAACACCCTTAGATCTTAAGTTAGTCTCCTTAGGCCCGTAGTAGTAGTTATGAAGAGCTTGAACGAAGACTACTACCCCTACGACGACCAGCCCTCCACGAGGTCGCTTGACTACGAGGTGCTCGAGGAGTTTGAAGAGGAGATAGAGCGTTTAAGTCCCTACAAATCCGGAGAGCCGGTGGACGAGGAAGGCGAGGACGAGGAGTCCGCCTCCTCTTCAAAGGGTGAGGACGTAGGTGCGTCCCGAGTGGTGGACGGGGCGTCCACTTCTGTTGTCATTCCGTGCCCGAGGCCGGTGTCTGCCGTGAAGGGAGCAGCTAAGCCGAAGAGGGTGAGGAGGCTGAAGAATGGGCCAGGCCTCTCCCATCTGGACCTCACCAACATATTCCTGATCAAGCCGGAGAGCAGTGCGGCCGACTATCTTGTCGCCCAGATGTACGTGGGGCCGTTCGGGCGGGTTAGGGCACCCAGGCCGACGAACCATGTTCTACTTCCGCCACCGGGATACTTTGGAGTATACCCGATGAGTTTTGCTAAGGGGTTGAGGTTCCCCCTTCACCCTTTCATCATTGAGTATCTGGACATGGTGGGGCTTCCTCCGGCCTTGCTGACGCCGAACAGTTATTCCTTGATGGTGGGCTTTTTACTTCGGTGTGAGGAGCTGGGCTACAGGCCGACAACGGCCTTATTCATGAATTTGTACCAGATCGGCCGAGGAAGCCACAAGAACTGTGCGGCCTATGCTACTCTTCAACAGCTGCCGAAGAAGAGGAGCTTCACGGATTTGCCTACGTCCATTCATGGGTGGAAGAGCAAGTTCGTGTTTGTGTCCATTGGTGAGAGTGGCACTGAGTTCCCCTCTCTCGGCCATACCGGGAGGTTCAATCTACATGACCCGCCGAAGAGCTCTATCTTGGACGCTCAGGTGGAGGCTTTCCTGGAAGGGGGGCCGAGGAGCGTGAAGGATTACGTTACTGAATACTAGATGACCGCCCTCGGCTTCTTCAGATACCACCTGTATGGAGATAAGGGGGATGACCTCCAACTCTGGCCGAGGATGACCACCACATTTGAAGAGGCCGACGGCCCGGATTTGGGCATCCCCGCTGAGGCCGATGGTAATTATTTTTTCGGCTTTCTGTTTTTATGTTTTTGTCCTTTGCCTTACTAATCCGTTGTGTTTTTCCTTTGTAGATTTTGCCATGGACCGACGTTCCATAATGGCTATTGCCAAGGCCAAAGCGGCCGAGGAGCTGGCTGCTAAGGCGGCCGAGGCGGCCAGACGTGCCGCGGCTGGTGGGAGCGGGGCTACTACTGATGCGGCCCCAAAGCCTGCTCCATCGAAGAAGAAAAGGCCGACCACTGACGGCCAGAAAAAGTTAACTGAGGCCGGCCTGAGCGTCTCGAAGAAGACGAAGAGGGCTCCTTCCCCTTCTCCGGCTACTGAGGCCGGTACTCTGGTTGTCCCCAGCATGGACGATAGTGGTCCTGTCGTGGACCTTACTACTGCTGGTGATGCTGCTCCATCACTGCCTCTCGTCCAGGAGCCACGGACGAAGAGGGCCGGCAAAGAGATTGCAGGTGCCACCTACCAGAAGATGGTAGAATACCCCGTCGGCGGGGGTGTCTTCGATGACGTCGTCCTTGGCCACGACGTCCTGGCGCAGGCCATGCTGGCCAAGGATCGGGCTTACCTGAGGAAGCTCGGGGACGTGAATATCTACGAGGGCGGCATGGACCTCCTGCACCCCTTCGTCCTCACGGATGAGCACGGAGCTGATGACCGACGTGCTCACCCCTAAGTACAAGAAGAGGGTTTCGCTGGCTTTGGGCTTGGAGAGCACGGGTGGGGATGACAAGTACCTCTTCAATTCGTCGAATGCTTCCTGGCACTCCGTTGTCCACTTGAAGCTGTTTGCCTTACGCATGATCTGGAAGAAGGGGAGTGCCCTCTCGGCTGACCTGGAGAGGAACCGGTTTAAGGCCGCCAGGCGCCCCGTCACTCGTTGCACCTCCTTGACGTTGCGGGGCGGCTCCATGTTGATGATAGCCTGCGTCTTCTCCGGGTTTATCTCGATGCCTCTCCGGCTGACCATGTAGCCGAGGAACTTGCCACCCTGGACGCCGAAGGCGCATTTCTTGGGGTTGAGGCGGAGCTTGAACTCCTTCATTATTTCAAAGATTTCCCGGAGGTCGTCGGCGTGGGAGGTGGCCTGCCTGCTCTTGACGATCATGTCGTCGACGTACGCCTCCATCGTCCGGCCAAGGACCGCTCTGAAGATCTTGGCCACCATCCTAGTGTAGGTGGCGCCGGAGTTTTTGAGTCCGAAGGCCATGACGAGGTAGCAAAAGATTCCCTCTGGGGTCATGAATGCCGTCTTCTCAGCGTCATCTTCATGCATGGAGATTTGGTGGTACCTTCTGAAAGCATCGAGGAACGACATCAACTCGCACCTCGCCGTCTCGTCCACCAGCTGATCAATGTTGGGGAGAGCGAACGGGTCCATGGGGCACGCCTTGTTCAGGTCAGTGTAGTCAACACACATTCTGAACGTCGGCGGTTTTTGTGCGAGGACGACGTTGGCCAACCATGTCGGGTACTTCACCTCTTTGATGTGTTTGATTGAGAGGAGCATGGCGACCTCCCCTTTGACGAAGTCCCGCCTGTCGGCGGACAAGTAGCGCCGCTTCTGTTTGACAGGCGCGGAGGCCGGGTCGACGGTCAGCCGGTGAGTGATCACCTGGCGGCTGATGCCTGGCATATCGTCCGGGTCCCACGCGAAGACAACAGCGTATGACCGTAGGACGAGGAGGATGGCGTCTCGTTGGTCCTGGGGGAGTTGCTTTCCGACCCTGAGAACCCGCTCCGGCCGGGAGGTATCCAGGGGGATTTCCTCGACCTCCTCGGCCGGCTCCGCATGTGGCCTCTCCTCGTCCATGGCGACGACGGCCGTAATGGTGTCTATCCGCTGTCCTTCCCTTTCGGCCGGCCTCGTTAGCTTGAGGTAGCAAGCTCTGGCTATCCTCTGATTTCCTCTGGCGTAGCCGATGCCGTCATTGGTGGGGAACTTCAAGCATAGGTGCTTCATGGAGATGATGGCCTCCAAGTCCTCCAGCGCTGGCCGGCCCAAGATCAGGTTGTGGGCGCACTGGAGGTTGACCACCATGAACTCCATGTCAATTTTGGCATGGTGGGGGCCGTCACCGACTTCCACGGGGAGGACTATCGTGCCCTCGGCGTCGATAGAGTCCCCGGTGAAGCCGGATAACGGGGTCTTGATCGGCTTCAGCAGAGCTCTGTCCAGCTTCAGCTGCTTGAAGGTGTCCAAGTACATCACATTGACGGAGCTCCCCGTATCGATGTAAGTACGGTGGATGATGGAGTCACCGATCTCACATCGGATGACGAGGGCGTCCCTGTGTGATTCCGTACCCGGAGGCAGATCCTTGTCGGTGAAGGTGATCGCCTCCGTTCGCTGCTTCTTTGGCTGGCGGGGAACGTGGGATACCTCCCCAATGTAAAGGGATTGGGCCCATTTCTTTCTCTGAGTGGCGAGTCCCCCCCAGTGTTCCCGCCTACGATGAGGTGGATGTGATTCTTCTTCGGTGGAGGCTCTTCGAAGTCCTCGTCGTCGCTGAGCCTACCAATCTCCCGCTTCTTCGCAGAGGGTTCGCCCCCATGTTTGCCGGTGTTTACCCAAGTGTTCTTGCGTGGGCCACCTTTGACAAACTGGGAGAGTTCCCCCCGGCGAATAAGGCGCTCGATGGCCTTTTTCAGTGTGATGCAATCGTCGGTGTTGTGCGACGAGTTTTTGTGGAACCGGCAGTACGTGCCGCCCTGCTGGATGGCAAGGATCTCCTCGGCCGGCCGAGGAGCCTGCTCGACGAGGCCGTGCTTCTTGGCATAATCGAGGATGGTGCCGACCGGGTGGGTGAGGGTTACCCCCGGCCGTTCCAGCCTCGGCCGCCAGTGGCGGTCTTTCTTACTCTGTCCACCAGAGCCGTGACGGCCCTGGGCACCCTGGCCGGCCGGGGACGGACCCGGGGCCGGCGAAGGATTTGTCTTCTTGGGGGGATGCCCCCCCTCTCTCTTGTGATTGTGGAGCTCGTCGGCGTCGGCGTACAAGCCTCCGCGCTGGAGCGCCTTGGCGTACGACCTCGGGGGGTCGGTGATGAGGCTCCTAGCGTACGGGGAGCTGCGGAGGGCTCCCTGGTACAAGGCAAGGAGGGTGCGCTCATCGGCCCCCTCGACCTCCTCGGTCTCCCTCGTCCACCGATCGATGAATGACCGGAGGGACTCCTCATGCTGCTGCTTGATGGAGAGGAGGTGGGTGAAATACTTCTTTGCGCGCTTCCTCCCGGCAAAGTGAGTGAGGAAGCGCTGGGCGAGATCCTGCCATGAGTCGATGCTTCCTTCTGGGAGCCCGTTGAACCACTCGTACGCTGGCCCCTCGAGAGTAGAGAGGAACCAACGGCAGAGGTATTCGTCGGACGCGTTCACCATCAGCATGTTGTTCTGGTAACGGCTGAAGTGCTCCTGGGGGTCTGACCGGCCATCGTAGGACTTGATGGCGTTCCCCCTGTACTTCTCAGGGATGGGGGCTGAGAGGACCCTGTTGGTGAAAGGGGTCCTAGTCCTGACCTGGATGATGGGGTCACTTCGCCCTTCGGCCAGCTCCCTCTCCAGGGCGCTAACTTTGTTCATGAGCGCGTTGAGGCCGGGGTCGTTGGAGGCGCCGGCCGTAGGGATGTTGGCCGACTGCTTGGCCTCCATCTGAGCCAGCCTCCTTTCCAGCTGGGCGATGACCTCGTCCCGGGGGTCCCTGTCAGCCGCAGCGGCGCCCGACCGGTTCCTCAGGCGCTCGTTGTGAGCCGCGTTGATCTGGTGACGCACGTCATCCTCGTGCAACTTCCCCTTGCCCTTATCCGGGCGGGGCTGGTCCGCTGTCCGGGACACAGACCCCAAGCTTTCCCTTGGCGAGCCAGGACGAGGATCACCAATCCGTCCCGCCATCCTCTCCGAAACCGTACGACGGCGCGTGTCACCTAGCCTATTGAAGGCAGAGGCTTTTCCACGCGCTGGGGTCTGCCCGGGCCGAAGAGGGGAAGCAGGGTGGGAGTGGGACGACGCCGTGTCCTGGGGCACCACCCCCTCATCGTTGCCTATGTGGACAGCCAACGGTTGGTGCTGAGGAGGTTGAGTGACGTTCCCCTCGGTCCTTGGCAAGAGTGCGCTGAGGACGGTGGGGTTCTGAGCTAGGCTGGCGATGATGGCCGACAGCGCGGCCTGGACCTGTGGATCTACGGACGGAGAGGCCGCGGCCATAGGCTGGGTCAGGGCGTGGTCCGCTTTCTCAGCTCGTTTCTTTTCCAGGCCGAGGCGGGCGTCGGGGACTCCGCCGTTGAGTTGGTTGCGGAGGTCCGTCGTGAGGTTGAAGGCCTCCTGGAAGAGGTCCCCTCCGCCGGCCTGGTCGGCCGTGGCGTCCTCATCGTGCTCCCTGGGCTCTTGGTCCTCAGGGATGGCTTTGCTGACGAGGTTGCGGTTTGACTTAGTTCTCCCCATGGTCAGTGGTTAGCTGTGCTTGGTAGCGACGAAGGGTGCTAACTTGATTGTTCTAGCTCTCAATGAGAGCACCAAATGATAGAGTATATCTAGAGAGAAGTGAGAGCTAGAGAGAGAAGTGCAATAATATGCTTCGGTAGAATGATTTGGTAACCCCTATAACTACTCCCAAGGGGAGTATTTATAGAGAAAATTAGGGTTGGGCTCCCAAGCCTTGGGCTCGGGAGGCCCATTTACAACTGGACCGCTACTGGGCCGAATACAAAGCCACTAATGGGCTGTACAAATGAATAAGTATAAAATCCGATTCTGTGAGGTCTTCGTGGCCGACGAGGGCGTGGCCGACGAGGGCACGGCCGACGAGGGCACCCGGGTTCCTTGGACTCAGGACCATAATCCGAGTTGGCCCCTTTTCGGCTGACGGGGGCGTCCTGGCCGACGAGGGCGGCACTCTGTGCCTTGTGCTTTCTGTTCTTCCGAGTATGTGGGTCCGGGGGCTCAGACCCATATACTCCATCAATTATCATAAAAGGAAAAATCGCGAAAACAATAGCCTCCAATTCTCCAAACAAAATAATTTATCATAAAATTGAGCTTAAGATATACTCCCTCCGTATCACTTTAGTTGTCCCAGTTTCCCTTTTGGGATGTATCAAATTAAGTGTCTCATTTCCCTTTTTGGAAAGAAACTCATCCAAAAAGTAGTTAGAGTACCACTACAGTTCTGCTACAGTACCGCTACAGTACCAAAAATGTCTTATGTTTTATAAAGTCTAAAGTAATTATATTAAACTACGTGATAAAACAAATGAGACAACTAAAGTGATACGGAAGGAGTAATAAATAATAGAGGTTTTTTCCAAAAATATTACTCCATCCTTCCCGTGCAAAGGTTCTCATGCGGTTTACATGTTAAGAAACTACTTTAAATTTTTTATACAATCGTAAACAAAAAAATAAAATTTGATGAAAGTGAAATATATAAAGTAAAAGATTAAGAACACTTCACGTTAAACGGATAATAGTGGATGAGAACCTCTGAATGTGATGAATATAGTACTGATTAAAATTGATGAATAATATCTTGGTAGATTCTATGGTACCCATAAGGTACCATACCTTTGTCCACATGGACCAATGAGAATGTAACAGTTTAATTATTTAAATCTAAATTAAAAATGATAAAGTGGTGTGGTCCAATCAAATGAATTGTAGGTACGGTACCCCATTTTTTAGAAAGGTACCGGAGTTGTCACCTAATATCTTTCCTACCCTTATAATATAAGGTGATCGAAATCAACAAATTTAGTAATGTCATAATACTCCGCAATGCATTATATCGATGAACTAATTTATTAAGAAAATTAAGAAGCAAACTTATTTCAAAAGCAGACATTAATAAAATGAAGCGTAATACGTAGTAAAATTTATTTGCCCCATTACCAAGGTTGTCGGATTTTGCAAATCCCACTTTGGAGAGACCCATTTTAACTTCCCCGTATTTTTGTACCAAAAAATGGAATCTTCGTGTTTTGGCCTTTTGGGTGTGCAAACGAAAAAGTCCCGCTGATCCGTCAAAAACTCAGATACTACCGAGTACAAAAACCCTTTAGAATTTTTCACAAGTAGACTATGAAGTTAAAATAATATCACTTTTTTCAACTTTGGAAAGTTATTTCAAAACTAAACTAGTTAAAAAATTCATTTCATAAATAGACCACTATATGAAATACACCTACGGGGGTCTACTAAAATTTCTTTTCCTAACGAGTGCACTGCGATGCAATGTCTCAATCGCGGCTCCATTATCATTTGACAAATTAATTCGAATTGCACGGAATACTTATCGTTAGTTTTATGTAGGAAAAAATGTAAAAAGTTATTAAAAACTGTAAAAGACGAGAACAATTAGGTAAATATTAAAAGTGAGAAAAATAATACTACATAGTAAATTTAAAACTGGAACAATTCAAAAATAATAATAAAATAAAAAATTGAAAACGTGTGAACTAAGTTAAAAAAATTAACTTTAACATAAAATCTGTCAAAAAAAAATGTATACAAATAAACGAAGTATATAATTTCAAATACAATTTCAAAATAGTTAATACAATTTGTATAAAATATAAAAACATGGGGACGTTCTATAAAATACAAAATAATTTCAAAATGTTACAATTTATATGAAATATAAAAATTTCAAAAATATAAAAAATCAAAAGGTTGGTAAAAGAATTAAATAACAGAAAATAAAATATTAATTAGAAAAAATTCTCAAAATCGAAAAAACTTGAAATTGAATTTCTAAAACCTAATTAAAAAAAATTAGGAAAACTAAAAAAAGTTGTAGAACAATTAAAAAAATTAAAAACTCTAAAATGAAAAGGTTAAAGATAGATATTACTCCCTCCGTTCCGTTGGAAGGTTCGCATAGCAAAATGACACGGTTATTTAGACAATAGTTATATAAAATACTTCGAATATATTTTGAGAAATAATTTTAATAGGTATATATTATAATGTAGTTAGTATTGATAATTGTGATGTTATACATGTATTATTTTTAATATTTAATGATTAAATTGTCACTTAAGATTGTTAATTGTTTCCTAAGAAGGAAATGAGAACCTTCTAACGGGACATCAAAACAAGGAAAGTGAGAACCTTCTAATGGGACGGAGGGAGTATTAGTTAAGACTTTGTGAAAATGCTAGAAAATACAAACCATTACCTTTAGGAATTTAGTTTTTTTTAAATAGTAAAAATATTATATTTTTATTATCATTATGTTATTATTTTGTTTCATAATGTTTCATAACCTTGCTTTTTGTTTTTTTAGAGAACTTTTAATGTTCCATGTTGCTGATTTCTAAGGTGCATTTTTTTATGAAAAGTACAACTTAATTAACTATCAAAATTGTAGTTTACAATAGCACATAAGGGGGTATCCCTAGTTAAGGAAGAGCATAACAAGCCAATGCTTCATGCACTAAATTAAAAAAACAAATCAACCCCAAACAATTTGTCTAAAGCATATTTCGTCAAAGGAACAAACAATAGCATCATACAATTTGCATAGCCTGACTTGCATAGTCTGCCTCAAGCAGAAACAACACCATCAAGCAGTTCTCAATCACTCCCCTCTATGATCAAAGCAAAAGGCAGCACTCTCGAGGCAAAAAGCATACCAATAGTCAACAATTTGCATATGGGTACCATACAAAACTCCCAAGGCAACACCTAACCAAGAAAACAACCTAGGTACCACCATAAAAATCAATAAAGTTGATAGGATATAATCTAAATAACACCTTCAATTGCAAAAACACACTAATCACCTTATGAGCAACAATAACCTCATTCACATCCTTTCAAATTGACAATGCATAAATGAGATAGCTGAAACTGTTACGCGCATCCTAGTATGCTTTTTAGGATTCTTGAAGGTAACTGCGCAGTTATCTTCAAAACTTCATTTGAATGCCTTCCTGATTGAAGTTTTAGCTGAAATTTGGTATGAGTAAACTAGACTTAATTAACAAGATGTTCAAAAAATATCATTATAAAATTCCACCAGGAACCGCCTCGAATGGTGACGGACAGACAGAGTCTCCTATATAAGAACTTATTTGACCTTTTTATGCAATTTCGAGGACCAATCTGACCCTTACCTCAAAATTTATTTGACCCATGACGAAGGTTAAGTCGGATTTCGCAAATCCGACTTTGGAGAGACCCATTTTAACTTTCCCGTATTTTTGTACCAAAAAACTCATATACTACCAAGTACAAAAACCCTTGCTCACAAAAGTGACTTAATATGTTACTACGTATCATTTATTTATATTATTGTGTCATATATTTACGACATTGTTCTTTTACGTTAAAGATATGTCATCAATTCAGTGACACTACGGCTGTTTTCTAATGGTTTCGCACCATTTTAAATTTTGTAACATGTACGAGCAAAGACCCTGACTATTAAAGTTGAAAACATATTTTTTACTACTTTTATATTATGCATTGCGCATAAAAATTGCTAGACACAAGCATAAACTGCAATACTGTTGGAGTATTCTCAACATGGTAGTTGTAATTCTTGTCCCACATCGATGAGAGAAAGAGAAAGTGTCTTTTTTAAGAAATTTCTTATAAAATGTGTGGTCCATGGGTCATTGTAACCATGAGTTTTGTGTGCTAATGTTAGTATGGTTATATAATACGTACACTACTACATACGATTATACATAATCATATTTACAATCAAGAGTTAGCAATTTGCACTGAAGCATGAATTAAATATAGAGAATATTACCCGAAATAGGACTAAAATAATAATTATAGTCTTCACAGTAATTACTCCTATTTTGGAATAAAAAACATGACAGTCCTATTTTTGAATTTTCAAACTGATTTAGTTCTATTTCGAGAACTTTCCATTAAATATAACAATAATAGAGCTATTGTTATTTTTAGTGAATTCGTGGAATCATCCACTAAGAAAATTATGAACACAATGAACGGGGTATGTTAAGGACTTATGGCAAAGGACACAATTAGCAGTCACAGTCTCTGTATATATAGCCTATTACTCTTGTGTGGCAATGAATGTCAATGTATTAGACAGAAATATTCTTCCCAAACATAAAACATTTGACAAGATATAGGCACATTTTGCAGATACGTATATTGCATGAATAAGGCTATTAGTCACAGAGCAGAAAGTAGGAGATCCATTGTGGGGGATTTGGCACCCCCATTCACGTGTATGGAAGCCAAGCAGAAAGAAAGCTGGAACCAAACGGACGCAGGAGCCAGGAAAGAAACATTTTTGCGTTGAACGTAGCTTCAAGTGCATATTGTGTTGAACGTAGCTTCAAGTGCGATCGCATCATTGCTGCTTCCAGGTGGAAGAACAGTAAATTCCAGGTCAGTTTTTTTAGTTTTTAAAAATTATAATTCCAAATGAATACTAAGACAATGAATTGTAACTTTCGGGTTTAAAATCCCACTCATAGCAGCGGAAAATTCAGCTTGCAACATAAAATCAGGAAGTGCACTTGTGAACCTGATTCAAATGACAAAATTGATAATTTTGGACGAGGCACCCATGACTAATAAGTACTGCTATGAAGCTCTTGATCGGACTATGCGGGATATTCTTCGACATTCATACGGTTGTGATGGGAGCAAACCTTCTGGTGGAAAGACAATTGTTTTTGGCGGAGACTTTTGACAGATTTTACCGGTAATTCCAAAGGGTAGTAGGCAAGATATTGTGCATGCGACTTTAAACTCATCCTTCATTTGGCCGTTTTGCAAGGTACTGAGGCTAACGAAGACATGAGAGTGCGAAGTGGATGAGACGATCTTAATTTTGCATAAATACAAAGGTTCATTTATTGGATTTTAAAGATAGGGGACGGGGTTCTAGGTGACAATGAGTATGAGAATCATATATTGACATACCCGAAGAATTCCTCGTGCCTTTGATTTCTGATCCAGTTACTTATATTGTCCAGAGTACATATCCCGATTTTTTAGCACAATCCACATCACCGTCATATTTAATGTCAAGATCAATACTTGCGCCAACAGTTGACGAGGTGGACAAGGTTAATGATTACATGTTCGAACAACTACCATCAGAGATGAAGACATATTTCAGCTCTGATTCTGCATCATTATCTGATTCTGATAGTAGTTTATTGCAAGAGATCCATTCTCCAGAATTCCTTAACGGAATCAAATGTTCCGGAGTACCTAGCCATGAGCTCAAATTAAAAGTGGGTGCCCATGTGATGCTTATGAGAAATCTTGATCACTCATTGGGTTTGTGTAATGGCACTCGACTTTTAGTGACCCAACTTGGAAAGCATGTTATTGAGGCCCAAATGTTGTCAGGGCCAACTGCCGACCAAAAACATTTCATTCCCCGTCTTACCTTGACTCCTTCTGATGTCAGACTGCCATTCACCTTCCAGCGCAGGCAATTCCCTCTGATGGTTAGTTATGCGATGAGGTCAAGGCCAGTCATTGGAAAATGTGGGCATATTCTTACGGCGACCGGTTTTCACCCATGGGCAGCTTTACGTTGCTGTATCAAGAGTCACGAGTTCAGCTGGTTTGAAGTTTTTGACATGTGACGATAATGGTAGATCGACAAATTTAAATGTTGTATACAAAGAGGTCTTTACCAATTTGTAATATTGCATTTTGTCTTGAATAAAATTGAGAACATTTTGTTGGAAAAAGTGTGTTAAAAGTGCATTAAATGGTCATTTTGGGGCAATTATTTGAGTGGGGTCCACTTCCGATTTGGGTCGGGTCAAAGTGGTTTCGGATTGTCCTTGCTAAGGGCTACAATTCGATATATGGTACACTCAAAACGGATAACGGGTGAATGAGAAATTGTTTTTCGAAGTTTACCCGTTGGAATGGAGAAAACTAGGAAAATGTGGGTTTTAGTGTGGGTTCTTTCCCACACCGAAAATCACAAGGGAATTTGAACCCTTTATAAAGGGAACCCCCCCTAAGGAGTTAAGATTCCTAAAGGGAAAGGCTCTCTCACGCGCGCAGGGGGGGTGCGAATCAAATCCCGAAACCGAAGAACAAAAACCGCGACTTGCGTGTGCGGGCGAACCTGCACACACGAATGCCATCCGAAAATCTATCTTCTAAAGATAACGTTAATTTTTGTTCTTCCGGTACGTTCCTACTTTAATTTTTGCTCCATGCACATAAATGCCCAACGTCTATATGCTGCCATTGATGTCCCAACGTTCATATGAACGTTTGGGTTGTTTAAGGACTGGAATCAATGCCCAACGTTTAGGACATTGATGTCCAACGATCATAAACCTTAAACAGCCATTAACACACCTTAATCCACCCCTATAAAAGGCTAGTAGGTGCTTTGCAAAGATACAACTCTTCATACACTTCGTTCACGTATTTTCATAGCTAAAACAGCACCTCTAGCACTCCATACAAACTCCTTCGGTGTTCTGCTTTTGTTCACGTTCGTTGGAACTTTAGTTTGAGTGCTAAACTATTGTTCGAAGTCATCGTATCCTGGGAAACGATCGTTGCAACGCTCCTAGCACCCTGGGAGGCAACGAATACGTTTTAAGGAAATCGTGCGTAGCACGAGCTTTGGCTTATTCCGCTTCATCTCATTTCTTGTTTTTTCTTTAAGTCATTTTATTTAATTAATCTCTATTAATTAATTTTCTTTGTTTTTTCGAAACACACCCAACAATCTTAAAACGTATTCGGTGATTGTTCTACTACGGTAAACAATCTCAAAACTTGTACTTTGTCACCTTGGTGAACGAACTTGTTTTTTTGTGCTTTCGAATAATGTAAGAAACGAAAAATGACTTCTCAAGAAAATGAAAATGTTGTTGGGCAGAATGCTTTGAACGGTTTGAACGATAATCACTTTGAAAGCGGAACTGCGGTGAACAATAGTTCACAACGCGGTGCATCTGCTTTGGTTAACCAAAGGGCTATCCCTATGGTGACCGTGCCGAGCAACTCTGTGGAGAAACCCGAAAAAATTAATGGGTTAAACTTCAAGAGGTGGCAGCAAAAGATGCTCTTCTATCTCACTACTCTCGGTCTTGCACGTTTCTTGACCGAGGATGCGCCTGTAGTAACCGGGGGTGAGGTGGATGCGCAATCTTTCAACGCGGTTGAGGTTTGGAAGCATTCTGACTTCCTTTGCCGAAACTACGTGTTGAACGGGCTGCATGATGCTCTGTACGACGTGTATAGTAAATTAGCTACGGCTAAGGAGCTATGGAATGCTTTGGACCACAAATATAAGAGCGAGGATGCCGGTGCAAAGAAATTTGTTGTCGGTCGATTCCTTGATTTTAAAATAGTGGATTCGAAGACGGTCCTGAGTCAAGTTGAAGAAATGCAAATGATCTTCAACGAAATTCGAGATGAAGGAATGACAGTTAGCTAGTCTTTCCAAGTGGCGTCAATTATCCATTTATTGCCGCCGGCTTGGATGGATTTCAAGAACTACCTTAAGCATAAGCGAAAGGAAATGAACTTGGAACAGTTGATCCTCCGTCTGCGGATTGAAGAGGATAATCGGAAGAACGATGGGAGACTTCCAATCGTTAGCGGCGCCAAGGCCAATGTGGTGGAGCATGCAAAAGGCTCCCAAAATAAAAATAATGGGAAGAGCAAGCTCGGTCCCAAGGGAGGCGTTTCCAAACCCAAATTTAATGGAAAATGCTTCAATTGCAACAAGAATGGACACAAGTCCTCGGATTGCAAGGCACCACGGAAGAAGAAAGACTCCCAAGTCAACTTGGTGCAAGGTGGGCAAAAGGATGAAGACATCATCCTAGCGGCTGTGGTTACCGAAGTCAACCTCGTTGGATCCAATTCCAAGTAGTGGTTCGTGGACACCGGTGCAACCCGGCACATTTGCTCTAACCAGGAGCTATTCACAACCTTTGAGCCATCAAACGGTGAGAATGTGTGGATGGGGAATTCTGCTCATTCCGAGATTGAAGGCATGGGCAAGGTGGTCCTGAAGATGACTTCGGGCAAGGAGCTGACTCTCAACAATGTGTTGTACGTCCCGGAGATACGCAAAAACTTGATCTCGGGAATGTATGTGAGGAAGGGGTATGCAGTTGATGGGCTGTTTAAGCTCAATGTAATGACTATTATTATTAATAATAATAAAATCTCTTCTGCTTACTTGCTTGAGTCTTCCAATGTGTGGCATGGTAGACTAGGACATGTTAATTTTAATTCTATACGTAGATTAATTAACATGGAACACATTCCTAAATTCACAATTGATGTGAATCACAAATGTGGAGTTTGTGTAGAGGCAAAACTAGCGAAAACGTCTTTCAAATCGGTTGAAAGAAAAACGGAACCACTAGAATTAATTCATAGTGACGTTTGTGATTTTAAATCAATACAAACACGTGGTGGTAATAAATATTTTATTACTTTTATCGATGATAGCACTCGCTATAGCTATGTTTATTTATTAAAAAATAAACACGAAGCAATCGATAAATTTATTCTTTATAAGAATGAAGTGGAAAACCAACTTAATCGACGGATTAAAACGGTTAGGAGTGATCGAGGTGGTGAGTATGAAATACCAATTGGTGACTTTTGCGCAAGTGTGGGTATAGTACACGAACGTACCGCACCCTATTCACCTCAATCAAACGGTGTTGCCGAACGAAAGAATCACACATTGAAAGATATGATGAATGTGATGCTAGTAAGTTCGGGCTTGCCACAAAATATGTGGGGCGAAACAATCTTGACAAGCAATTACCTTTTAAATAAGGTTCCCTGGAAAAAATATGATAAAACTCCGTACGAGTTGTGGAAAGGCAGACGGCCTTCCTATCAATATTTAAAAGTGTGGGGGTGTCTTGCTAAGGTGGAAAAATATTTAAAATAGGTCCAAAAACGGTGGATTGTATTTTTATTGGGTATGCACAAAATAGTAGTGCTTATCGGTTTTTAGTGTACGATTCGAATAATCCGGATGTACATAAAAACACAATAATTGAATCAAGGAATGCTTCATTCTTTGAAGATGTATTTCCATGCAAGTCCAACGAAGTGCCTAGCACGTCAAAACGAACATTTGACGTAGCTATGGAAAATACTAGCGAGGGATCCGGAGAAGAACCCGAACCCAGACGTAGCAAACGTGCTAGAATTGAAAAATCCTTCGGACCGGATTTTCTCACCTACCTGGTAGAAGTTGACTCGGATATTCTAACATGTATGGTAGAAAATGAACCGGATTTTCTAACATGTTTGGTAGAAAATGAGCCACGGACTTATACGGAAGCCGTGACGTCTATTGAAGGTCCTGTGTGGAAAAAAGCCATCAAAAGTGAGGTGGATTCTATCCTTAAAAATCACACATGGGAATTGGTTGATCTTCCTCCGGGAAATAAACCTTTGGGATCCAAGTGGATTTTTAAACGGAAAATGAAACCTGACGGTTCCATTGATAAGTACAAGGCCAGACTTGTAATCAAAGGATACAAGCAACGTGAGGGCCATGATTACTTTGACACATATTCTCCTGTGACGAGAATAAATTCCATTAGGATGATACTAGCAATTGTCGCATTGCGGAAATTGAAAGTTCATCAAATGGACGTAAAAACCGCTTTTCTAAATGGCGATATAGACGAAGAAATCTATATGGAACAGCCCGAGGGCTTTCGTGTTCCTGGTCAAGAAAGGAAAGTGTGTAAATTAATTAAATCATTGTATGGATTGAAACAAGCCCCTTAACAGTGGCACGAAAAGTTCGATCATGCAATGTTAATTAATGGGTTTAAAATAAACGAAAGTGACAAATGCGTCTATGTGAAGAGCACGGTAGACGGCTATGTCATCTTATGTTTATATGTGGATGATATACTCATCGTGGGTAGCAATAATCTAATGATTAATTCTACCAAAAGCATGTTAAATTCTAAGTTTGACATGAAGGATATGAGGCTGGCCGATTTAATCCTTGGGATTAAAATAATTAGAGGACCTGACGGTCTAACGCTAAGTCAATCCCATTACGTTGATAAAATCCTTACTAAATTTAATAAGGATGATTATCAAGAGGCAAGGACGCCATTAGATAAAAATGTACATCTGACCAAAAATCGTGGAGACTGTATTTCTCAAGTAGAATACGCTAGGATTATTGGCAGTTTAATGTATCTAATGAGTTGTACCAGGCCTGATATTGCCTTTGTGGTTAGTAAGCTTAGTAGATATACTAGCAACCCCGGTGATGAACACTGGAAGGCAATAGTAAGGGTTTTGAGGTATTTACGGAAAACCCAAAACCTTGGACTGCACTATGAAAGATATCCAACTGTACTTGAAGGGTATAGCGACGCTAGTTGGAAATCTGACATTAAGGACTCAAAATCCACAAGTGGATATGTTTTCACTTTGGGAGGTGCAGCCGTGTCGTGGAAATCCTCGAAACAACCGTTAATAGCTAGATCTACGATGGAATTTGAGCTAATAGCCTTGGATAAGTGCACTGAAGAGGCTGAATGGCTACGCCATTTTCTCGAGGATATTCCAAGTTGGGAGAAGCCTGTCCCTCCAATATGCATACCTTGTGATTGTCAAGCGGCAATTGGAAGGGCACAGAGCAATCTCTACAATGGTAAGTCTAGACACGTTCGTCGTAGACATAACACCATTAAACAACTCCTCACAACGGGTGTTATCACTGTTGACTACGTGAAGTCAAAGGATAACGTAGCGGATCCGCTAACCAAGGCATTGGATAGAAAATTGTTGGAGAAGTTATCACGAGGAATGGGACTAAAGCCCGTAAATTGAAAAGTTCTATAGTGGATACCCAACCTAGTTGGTCCTAGGTTCAAAAGGGACAACTAAATTATAGAGCGAAGGATGGTCACTGTGGGGGTCCCAAACTCCTACCCACTCCTCGTTGAAACAGTGACTCCCGCACGAGGTTAGCAAAAACGTTTGCTTTAATGATTCTAAAATGTTGATCTACTCGATAACATTGGAAGAGTATGCGGAATACTCATGAAAGAATCACCTATGTGAGAGAGAAGAGGGCCGCTTCAAAGGAGAACTGTAATGGCTCAGTTCTTTAGAAACTCTTGCAGAACCAGGACGGTGACCCATGGCCAAAACGGGCACACACATGAGAACGGAACAAAGGTCGAAGGTTCTTGTGTAAAGATAAGTCAATATTTACACGACGACAGTATAGTTCAAGGACATCGAGTCTACTAGACAGCCAGTAAATAAACGTGTCTTTACATCGGAAGGTTCAAAGGATAAAACCTACCTCTCCGTGTGCAGGGATCATCCGGTGAACACAACGTGTCCTCCTATCTTCGTGTCTTTTTAAGTCTCGAAAATCAATTTTCATTCATGTGGGGGATTGTTGGAAAAACTGTGTTAAAAGTGCATTAAATGGTCATTTTGGGGGAAATTATTTGAGTGGGGTCCACTTCCGATTTGGGTCGGATCAAAGTGGTTTCGAATTGTCCTTGCTAAGGGCTACAATTCGATATATGGTACACTCAAAACGGATAACGGGTGAATGAGAAATTGTTTTTCGAAGTTTACCCGTTGGAATGGAGAAAACTAGGAAAATGTGGGTTTTAGTGTGGGTTCTTTCCCACACCGAAAATCACAAGGGAATTTGAACCCTTTATAAAGAGAAACCCCCCCTAAGGAGTTAAGATTTCTAAAGGGAAAGGCTCTCTCACGCGCGCAGGAGGAGTGCGAATCAAATCCCGAAACCGAAGAACAAAAACCGCGACTTGCGTGTGCGGTGACCTGCACACACGAAGATAAACTTTAATTTTTGTTCTTCCGATACGTTCCTACTTTAATTTTTGCTCCATGCACATAAATGCCCAACGTCTATATGCTGCCATTGATGTCCCAACGTTCATATGAACGTTTTGGGTTGTTTAAGGACTGGAATCAATGCCCAACGTTTAGGACATTGATGTCCAACGATCATAACCATTAAACAGCCATTAACACACCTTAATGCACCCCTATAAAAGGCTAGTAGGTGCTTTGCAAAGATACAACTCTTCATACACTTCGTTCACGTATTTTCATAGCTAAAACAGCACCTCTAGCACTCCATACAAACTCCTTCAGTGTTCTGCTTTTGTTCACGTTCGTTGGAACTTTAGTTTGAGTGCTAAACTATTGTTCGAAGTCATCGTATCCTGGGAAACGATCGTTGCAACGCTCCTAGCACCCCGGGAGGCAACGAATACGTTTTAAGGAAATCGTGCGTAGCACGAGCTTTGACTTATTCTGCTTCATCTCATTTCTTGTTTTTTCTTTAAGTCATTTTATTTAATTAATCTCTATTAATTAATTTTCTTTGTTTTTTCGAAACACACCCAACACATTTTAATTACAATTCACAGAGGGAAAACAATATTATGCGCTCATTTAGAAAAATAATTGAATTATTGTCAAAACAATTCAGTTTTATCCCATGTAACGCACGGGTTAAATAACTAATTGTTCATAAATCAAACTAAAACATATTCAAGTTTACAAGAAAAAGGGTATAACAACTTCACAGTACCCGTGTTCTTCTGAGAGATTCACATGGAATTGATGAAGTGAAGAGTGACACAGGAAACAAAATTCTTTACATCCTCAAGGTTCATGGAATTGCTCCCGAGATACCAGAGGATTTGTACCATTTGATTAAGAAGGCAGTTGCAAACAGGAAGCACTTTGAGAGGAATAGGAAGGACAAGGACTCCAAGTTCCGCCTGATTCTTGTTAAGTGCAGGATACATCGCCTTGCCCACTACTACAAGAAGACAAAAAACTTCCCCCGTTTGAAAATATGTATCTACAACTGCCAACACCTTGGTGGCTTAAACTGAAGTGGGCTTTGGGATCTGAAATGATCAGAAACCCGTTTGGTGATCCTATTTTTCAGCTTATCGGGCTTGTCAACCAACTTTTTCATCAAACACGTAATTTTTTATTTCGCACACTGATTTGTGTAATAATAAGAAAAAGTTAGGTTGTAGTTACTTTTCTAGCTGTACTGCTGAAGTTACTGTATGAGATCATTTTAGCTATTTTTTCATATAATTATTTCTTTATTTTATTAATAAAATATATTTAAATATAATTTTTCATCAATAATCAGAATCAGCCACTTCACCCACAACTTCAGAAATTTCACCAGAATCAGCCGATTCAGCCAATTCCAGTGTTATCAAACGGCTATATAATGAAGTGCAGCTGCTGTAGTTCACTGAAGGCAATGCTCATTTACGATTTTTTATTTTGACAAGCATCTTTTTCAGTTTGTCCTCGTTTTTTGGATTACAAAGATTTTTGTGTTACAAAGGAGTCAAATCTAATTCTGATACATGGATGCATATTTACATGTTAAAAATTAACAAAATGAAGATTTTGTTTGTTCACGTATCGTAACTAGGGATGGACTCGGGCCGGGTGGCCCGACCCGGAACCGGCCCGGGACCGGTACTGTTCCGGCCCGGCCCGACCCAGTGGCCCGGTCAGTGACCGGTCCGGGTAGGCCCGGCCCGTGGGTTTTCCGGTCCGGGCTCGGGTCACCCAAAACAAGGCCCGACCCGGCCGGGCTCGGGCCCGGTTCGGGCCAAAACCTATTTTTTTTTTCAATTTTTTTTTAAATTTTCGGGTTGGGCTGAGTATTTTGGGCCATTTGGGGTGGTTTGGGGGGTTGGGGGTGGGAGGGGGGTTAATTAGGAAGAGGAAAACAAAAAAAAATGATAATGGGCCCGGACCGGACCCAGTTGTTACCCGGGCCGGTCCCGGGTCCAACATTTCTGAACCGCCGGCCCGCCCAGGCCTAGGCCCGACCCGGACCCGGCTCGGACCCGAATCCATCCCTAATCGTAACTGAAACGGTTAATGACTTGTTCATGTGTCACCTATTTGTTTATGAAATATAATTACATTTATGACAAAAGTTAATGTTGTTTACATAAATTATAATAATTATAAATCTTTTTGTAAATAAATTTCATTTTAGTAATATTTTTGAAAAAAAATCATTTATCCACTCATGAAAATAGTCTTTTCTAGGTCACTTTTATGTTGCTCTGTACTCCCCCGTCTCGCTGTAATTGTCCCATTTTTCCTTTTCTTGAAATCTCACTAATATTGTCTCATACCCCGTATATGATTTGGTAAAATTTATGTGATTGTAAATTATTTTTGCTTTATTCTGATTTTATCAATTCAATATCAACCACATAAACTGACTTTTCTTAATAATCGTGTCACTTTTTCATGTTTCATATACCAATCTTAGTGGAACAGAAGTAGTATTCGAACTGGTAATTTTCCATTTGCAGTCTTATATTTACAGAAAGAGCCTTTAAAATTTCCTTTAAGAGGATATTTTATACTAGTATATCGTTTCTATACGACTATACCTCAAGAGAAAACACAGAGTTCCACAACGTGGCTTGATATTGCCTTTAAGAGGATGCTGCACGTACATGTGAGATAAACTTATTATCAATGCTTTCTTATTTGTTTAGTCCCACACCGTTTGTTGAAGAAAAAGCCGCTGCTTTCTTCGCTTTAAAAATAACTCTGCACAGTTCGTCCCATCTCATACCTTTCTCCGCCTTTTCCCTAAGATCGAATGAAGCATAGAAATTACTCCAAATTGGATTAAAACTATGGCAAAAATTCAAAATAGGGTTTACCATATTAGTCCTATTTGAAAAATACCTATTTTTTCATTCCATTCTTACCCTTCCTTTAAATATGAGTTAACTAAATGTTTAATTCATAATAAATTCGAAAAATAACTAAAAAAATTATATAATATTTATAAAATAAAAAATTAAAAAAATATTTTTTTTTATTTTTTTAAAAAATTAATAAAAAATTGTAAAAACTCCATAAAAGAAATTAAAAAAATATGGATGTCTTTCCCATCGCCTTTACTATCTTCCTGCACCATCATCTCCGGGCCGGGCGGTGAAAAAATGTCACTTTTCCTAAAAATTGCCATATTTTATGAAAATGCAAAAAACATGACATATTTCTCTTTGAGAATGCCAATATTTTCATTGTTTTCTGCCATAAATATGGCATTCGTAATGAACTTGGCATTTTTTCCCCTGGTGACTAGAGGTGGTGGTGCAGAGGCGGCAGGGGCGGCGGTGAATTTTATTTTATTTTTTTGAGTTTTTATTTTAATTTTATTTTAATTTGTTATTTTTTGAAAATAAATAAATAAATAAATTATTATCTAAATATTTTTATTTATTTTGTAGTATTTTTTACGAATTTTTTATTATTTTTTATTATTTTATTATGAATTAAAACATTTCAATAGCTATAAGGATATATTTATCCAAGACACACATAATTAGTCTTATGAAAACATAGTTTATTTTTTGTCCTATTTGTGCAAAGTGAGTGATTTTTAGTCCTATTTTGATAATTAACCCAATGAAGTATCTGTTCTTATCAGTTTATTATCTTATATGTGGGCTATTGGCTCACACGATTTTAACTCAATTTTTTCGGGGAGGGGCCCAATGTGTAGATTGCTATCGGGGTTCTTAAGCGTAGCCTTAGTGTTGCACTTCAGCTTCGGCCTGGTGCACCCCTCCAATTTAGTTTGAAGCATTGATGTGTTTTTTTGTTCTCAATGTTATTTGAATGATTTTCGGCTTACATAATTACTCTGTACTTTTTTATATATTTATGTTTCTATTCAACTTTCAAAAGGACTGATTTATTTAAGAAAAAATATTTTTAAAATATACTCCCTCCGCCTCGAAACAATTGTCCTACTTTGACCTTTACACAGATTAAGAAAATGAATCTGACTTCACACTGTAATGACACTGTAGCGATACTGTTTAGCACTGTTTTGCACTGTTTGACACAGTTTTGTATATATTTGTTTACCAAATAAGGAAAGTTTCAAAGTAGGACAATTATTAAAATGGTCATCTACAGTTTAGCGCGTGGAAGCAAAAGTTACGTGTTTGGTGAAAAGTTGGCTGATATGCCTGATAAACCGAAAAATTGTTGCCAAACGGCCTCAAAATGTAAGTTAGATTAGTTACTTATTATTCATTAGTTCTCTGATGAAAGAGTTGGTGTTTATGGTGAGTTCTCAAAATTATCCATATTTTTTAATGTAGAAAACTTTATTCATCCTATTGGTGACACTTTTAACATTATAGTATGAAATAGAAGCTTGATTGATGAGGTAATACATATGGTTTGTCTATAGATAATCAGTTCTATTAGTGCAGTAGATAGACCTTTTAATTAGAAATACTACCCATATTATTTGAGACTTGGTTTTCTTTAATGCTATAATGAAATATGTAAAATAAAATAAAAGCCTTTATTACATGAGATACTAAAAGATCGTTACACACACAAGTTTTACACAATAATAAAGGGGCTAGCTTGCACTTCATATATGGAAGTTGCCTACGTTTTACACAATAAGCATTCACACAGTCTCTAATCTCTATATATACATATTTTGGAGATATGTATATTACATGAATAAGGTATTTACGTATAAATTATTAAGTGTGGATAATCCTCTAAGTCCATAATTATTAATTTATTATATCCTAAAGGAATATGCATCTTGCCTGTACCAATTCATTATTATTATTATTATTATTATTGGTACACGCAATTCGTTAGACTACTTGTACCAATTTATATGGAATGTTTGTGATCTGAAGTCGATGTTATTATTATAGTTTCTATTTTTAGTTGATTGTAATACAAATAATATTTTAATTTTAGAAGTGTATTATTTCCAATAAATACTACATACATTCGTTGCGGAAGAACCCTACTTCTTAATTTAATTATTCTCATTGCCATCTTTTTTGAGTGGGAACAATAACATAGTCACATAGACCATACTGTCGATATAGTAGCCTGATTAGGAGCATAAACTCACCTTGAAGCTAACCACAACCAAAAATTCATTATTTACACTACAAATTTTGGACGATAATTTTAATTATTACATTTGTATATAACTTTTCAAATTTTATACTTCTATGAAAATATGTTGAATAAGGTGCATTTTGATATAATTTCAATTCTAAATAATTTTGTATTAAAAAATATCATCGGCAAAATTTGATTGTCATTGATCAAGAAAAGTGAATTTGATGAATCTTTTCGGAATGGAAGGGGTATATGAGTAGGTGTGAAAGTGAGAATAGGAGATCCATGGTGGGGGATTTGGCACCACCATTCTATCTCTATGGAAGCCAAAGCAGAAAGATGGAAGCAGACAGACAGAGGAGGCTGAGACGTGTGACGCATGAAAAAAACTCTTTTTCCTTTAAAGTGTTATAACTTTTTTATTTCCAACTCCAATTTTTATCAAAATAAATAAATTCATATGACATTAATATTGCATATCTAAAATTTACCAAAATATCAAATTTTAATTATTGGAGGTTTGTAAGCCTAAAAGTTTTCATAAGTAGACCCTGACCCAACTATCCAAGTATTAAAATTAAGATCCCATATTTAAAATATATGTTTACATGTTTCAGGTTTGGAATAACAATAAAAATTAAATTTCAAATTAATTTATTTCTACGTTAGAATGTCTAGCTTTTTAAATCATAATTATTCGTAAAACAAATTGTCAAAAATTGATGTATAACAATATAAGTAAGACTTTAATTTAAAAAACTATGTTGAATGAATATATTGATGGTGCTGGATTGTAGGGAAAAATCTAAATTTGACGGATTGAACACCAAATGTTTTGTGTAAATGATGAAGAATTTGATTTATTCACCTCATGAGTTGCGGTTAGCTTAACATGTTAACACTTCCAAAAACTATGTTTCTAACAAGGTAAATTGTCAACTCATCGACTATTAAATAAACAAAGTGGCTTCGTGTACATCCTTCACGAGTACACCATGTAAAGGGTAAATGGCAAATTGTTCGTGTCACAAACAATTTGTCATTTTTAAAGTGGACTACCAATAAAACCGACGAATAATTCAAAAAAGAATACTAGTGTCACAAACAATTCAGTTTAATGAAAAAAAATATCTATGACACGGACAAATGAGACTTATACACTTGTGAATTCTGACGTGTACAAAAGGAATTTTTCTAAAATAAAGTAGAGAATTGTTCATAAATTAAACTAAAACATAATTTATGCTTCATAGTATAATGTTGATCGTCTCTTTCTCAACTACATTTGGACATTCACTCCCATCTAGGTCTTCTCCTCTCACAGAGGTACTACTGTTTATAACTTTATACATTACTTCATCTCCTTTTTTAGGTGGTGCAAATTTTGTGTTAAAAACCCCCAAGATACTGCTAAATCATTCCAATAATCCAATGTATTCAATTCACCATTTCACCCTATTTTGGAATTTGTTACATGTGCTAGGACCCCCCCCCCCCCCCCCCCCACCCCCACTATGATTCTGGCTGGAAACATATTTTTTCATGACTTAAATTAGACATTCACTTTCGTGCAATGCGCTTAATGTTAGCTAGTATATACAGTTATACACGTAATGATAAAACTATGATAAAAGGCAATGCTATGAAATGCTATATACAATTCATACACAAATCAATGTTATGCAGATTGGGAGGAACTGTGGAATAATTTTTTAGCTAAAACTGCTTGGCATAAAACATGAATAGCTCAGACTAACAATGCCTTTTAATCTAACTTCTTAGATTTCTTCTTCTCATGGTCATCTTTTTGGAGTGGGAACAGCAACCTAAAAGACCATACTGCCAGTAGAGTAGCCTGAATAGGAGCCAGCCAATAAACTTGTATATGCTCTTTGGTTATGTGATCCCCACGAGCATAAGCCCACCCGAACACCTGTAAAGATAACAACATTTTATTAAGCTAAAATGTCAACTCATGGACCATTATATGAAGTAGAAAACAATTCACAAACCAGACGCATTTCTCCAAACAGCAAAATCATTTTCTTTTCCTACAAATAAGACACATTAAAAGCCCATTTGGTAGCATTAAGGTTGGAGGAAATGCTATGTTTTGGTCCTATTTGGGTAAATCTCCAGTTTATTGGTTAATTAATTTTTAGTTTTTCCCAGTTTATTCCTTTTAGTTTTTGCATAATTGTGTGATGAATATTTTCTCCCTTTAAGCCGCACTAGTATTATTCTTAATGACTTGTATGACTACTCATGTATTTTTGACTTAACTATACATTATATACTATATATTTTTTATTTTTTATAAGCATCGCTTTTTGTGAGAAAGCTACGCTTCGCTTAGCGCTTTCGCTTTTAAGCAAAGCCCAAGGTCATCGCTTTTGGACGCTTTTCGCTTTAAAAAAGTGTGTGCCATAAGAAAAAACGTAAGATTGCCCTTGTCAACAAATTCAGTCAGAAGCTTACTTGTTTTCTGCCATTACACAATATAAAGTTGGCTAAACTTACACAAGATATAAACAAATTGAACAACACTTATGCAAGTATACAGATCGTAGAGGATGTTGCTAAGTTATTAAAATGACACCATGCTGTTTTCAAGATATTTTTCTTCATTCATGGGAGGGAAAAAACCCGGTTACTTTGGGTACAAAAAACCCACCACAAATGCCCAGTACTTATACACAAACATAAGAAACGAAACTGCTATGGGAACTGCCAAGTAACTGCTCCTATTTTTGCGTATGCATGTACCAACATGGTATCATGTTTACGTTAAAACTTAACCAACCCCACACACACGACATTGACTGAAAAAAGAACAAAACTAAATACACAAATACAAATAAGACAAGTTTAACTTCCACATTTCCCCCTTTAAACTTTGTCTTATCCTCTTATGACCTTCACTCCAATTTTGTCACGTATCTCGATGAAATTTTGTCTTCCCAGAGGTTTCGTTAGGATGTCTGCCAGCTGCTCACTCGTCCCAATATGTTCAAGCTCAATCATCTTGTTTTTGACACACTCTCTTATGAAATGGAATCTTGTATCAATTCGTTTACTCCTTTCATGAAAAACAGGATTGTTTGCCAAGGCTATTGCGGATTTATTATCAACTTTTAGCACTGGCTTCATCTGACCATGATCTTTCAAACTTTCCAACAGTCTCATTAACCAAATACCTTGACAGGCGCCTCCTGTAGCTGCAATATACTCTGCTTCACACGATGATAGAGCCACAATCTTTTGCTTTTGTGAAACCCAGGTTATTGGACTCTTTCCTAGAAAGTAAATGATACCTGTTGTGCTTCTTCTGTCATCAGTATCTCCAGCAAGGTCACTATCACTATAGCCAATCAACACTTCATCATATTCTCCTTTCTTATAAACACACCCCATCCCAAGAGTCCCTTTGATGTATCTAAGAATCTGTTTCACAGCACACATGTGAGTGGTATTTGGTGTCTCCATGTATCTACTGATGACTCCAACAGAGTAGGCCAAGTCAGGACGTGTGTTTACAAGATATCTAAGGCTCCCCACTATGCTTCGATAAAAAGTAGAATCAACTAGTGACTCATCTTCACCTTTTGTCAGTTTGCACCTGGGTTCCATTGGTAATGAACTAGAGTTACATTCTATCATTCCAACCTTCTCCAATACTTTCTTGGCGTAGCCTGATTGACACAAAGTAATAGCGTTCTCCCCTTGCTTTACTTCAATTCCCAGATAATGACTCAATAGCCCCAAATCACTCATCTCAAATTGATGCTTCATATCACATTTGAAACGTGTGATAGATTCTGCATTGGATCTTGTGATGATGAGATCATCAACATACACTCCCACAACTAGAATGCTTGTCTCTATCTTCTTGATGTACATAGCATGCTCAAATAAGCATTTCTTAAACTTCATTGAAATCAAGCATTTATCTAGTTTCTCGTTCCATGCCCTTGGTGCCTGCTTTAATCCATAAAGTGCTTTATGCAACCTCAAAACTTTCTTTGGATTATTTTGATCAACAAAACCTTCTGGCTGTTGAACATATACTTCTTCTTTCAGCTCCCCATTTAAGAAAGCCGTTTTTACATCCATGTGATGTAAAAACCAACCTTTCATGGCCGAATAAGCAATCAGTGTTCTGACTGTCTCCAGTCTGGCTACAGGAGCAAACACTTCCTTGTAGTCAATGCCATACTTTTGTACATACCCTTTTGCAACTAATCTGGCTTTGTGTTTGATAATTTTCCCTTCTGGATCCTTCTTCAGCTTAAAAACCCATTTCAAACCTATGGCTTTATGGCCTCTTGGCAGATCTGTCAATTCCCAGGTTTGGTTTCTTACTATGGAACTGATTTCCTGTGTCATTGCCTCCTTCCAATTCAGGTTCTTTGAGGCTTCTTCATAATTCATTGGTTCATCAATGGATAGGAAACACAGACCTGCTTCTTTTTCTATCTCTCTAGTGGCATCATAAATTTCTTGCAAAGATCTATACTTGTGATGTTCATCACTTGAACTTGAAGAAGGTGAATCATGAATAGAACTTTGAGATGATTCTTCTCCTCCTCCATTGACAATAACATCTTTTTCCCCACTCATATGTACTATGAAAGTAGTCCCATCAGTATCTTCCCTCTCTGTTTGTCTGTCCTCCCAGGTCCAACATTTCCCCTCCTCAAAAATGACATCTCTGCTTACAACAATCTTTTCTTTTGTTGGATCAAACAGTCAGTATGCTTTTGTGCCCTCCTCGTAACCAAGCAGTATGGTTTGTGTACTCCTGTCTTCAAGTTTGTTTAAGTGAGGTGAAACGTCCTTAGCATGAGCAAGGCAACCAAACACACGAAAATGTTGTACATTTGGTACCTTCCCATAAAAGGCTTGATAAGGTGTCATTCCTTCAACACTTTTGGTAGGAGCACGGTTTAGGATGTACACTGAGGTTCTAACTGCCTCACCCCAAAACTTTCCAGGTACGTTTTTACTTTTCATGATACTCCTTGCCATTCTAAGAATTGTCTGATTTCTTCTCTCAACAATCCCATTCTGTTGAGGAGAATATGGGGCAGTCAAGTGTCTTCTGATTCCCTCATTTGCACAATAGTTTTGGAACTCAATAGAGGTGAACTCTCCCCCCCTATCAGTTCTAAAACATTTGATTTTGCTCTCTACTTCATTTTCAATCAAGCTTTTGAACCTCTTGAAGTGTACAAAAGCCTCACTTTTGCATTTCAAGAGAGTAATCCACATAAACCTGGAATAGTCATCCACAAGTAACATGAAATACTTATTACCTGCAGGCGTGGATGGGGAAATGGGCCCACATAAATCTCCATGCAGTAGCTCCAACTTCTGTTTTGCCCTAAATGATCCTTGATCTGGAAATGAAGCCCTATGTTGTTTACCCACAACACAGCCATCACATACTTGGTTTATGTGATGTATTTGAGGCAGTCCCTTTGCCATCCTGAAATTTGACAATCTCTTTAATGCTTGAAAATTGATGTGTCCAAACCTGGCATGCCACAGCCAAGCAGTATCTTCCATGCTCATCAATAAACAAACACTCTGTGCAGTGTATAGTTTTGCAACAAACAGCTTGTTACTTTGTCTCCTCTCCTTGATGATAAGTCTGTTTCCAACGTCATATACCTTCAAACACCCTTCTTCAATGGTAATTCGGTTTCCATTCTCATCAAGTTGCCCTAAACTAATGATATTGCTCTTTAGTTTAGGTATATAGTACACATTTGATAAAACCAGATGCTCTCCATTCTTGCATTGAAAAAGCACTGATCCAAGTCCTTGTATATCAATAACAGAACCATCTCCAAACCTTACCTTCCCTTTAATGGAGTGGTCTATGTTGTTGAAGCAATCCTTATTTCCCGTCATATGATTGCTTGCTCCAGTATCAAGGTACCATCCTGATTCTTTCTGTTTCTTTTCATGCACCATCTCTGCATTGATTGATGCTTGTGTCTTAGTTAATTCACAAGTCTCAATCATGAGTAAAGCAGGTTCCTCTTCTTCATCATCCTTAGTGAGGTTGGCTTGTTCTTCTTTTTCTTCTCCAGTACATTCAGAAGCAAAATGGCCCATCTTGCCACAATTAAAACATTTTATCTTGGATTTATCAAACTTTCTCTTTTGTGGTGGTTCCTCCTCTTTACTTTGGAAACTGCCACTCCTTCCTCTTCCACGTCCTCTGCCACGTCCTCCCCTATTACTCCTTTGATCTCTGATTGCTTCCTTGTTATATTATTCTTCTTTTGCCTTCCATTCTGCCTGGGTAAGCAAGACAGTCTCATCTCCTTTCACTATGCTACCCTGAATCCTTTCTTCATGTGCCTTCAGAGAGCCTATGATTTCATCACTTGTTTTGGTCTTCAAGTCACCAAATTCCTCTATAGTTGATGCTATTTGAAGGAATTTTGGTGCAGTTGAACGTAATAACTTCTTGACCACAGTTTCCTCTTCCACAGTATTCCCAAGGCTCCTCAATTTTGTAACTATGATCTGCAACTTCCCAGTATAATCATCTATACTGTCTGCATCTGTCATCTTCATAGATTCAAACTCACGTAAAAGAGATTGAGTTCTTACTTCCTTGACTTTCTCAGCTCCTAAGTTCATGGTTTTCAGCATATTTCATGCTTCTTTAGCAGTTTTCTTTGCTCCTAGTTGAAGCAAAGTATCTTCAGTTATCCCTTGGTAGATTGTTGCTAGTGCCCTCTTGTCCTTTCGAGTCTCCACAACATCTTCGGCTACCACTGCATCCCATACACCCTGAGCCATCATAAACACCTCCATTTTTATTGCCCAGGCTGCATAGTTTGTCTTGGTGAGCATTGGATATTTAAGAGCAACGAAATCACTCTTATCTTCAGACTGCACATCTTCATAATCTGAATCTCGAGACATGTTGGATCGGAATTCAGTAGGTTCTGATACCAAAAGTTGGCTAAACTTACACAAGATATAAACAAATTGAACAACACTTATGCAAGTATACAGATCGTAGAGGATGTTGCTAAGTTATTAAAATGACACCATGCTGTTTTCAAGATATTTTTCTTCATTCATGGGAGGGAAAAAACCCGGTTACTTTGGGTACAAAAAACCCACCACAAATGCCCAGTACTTATACACAAACATAAGAAACGAAACTGCTATGGGAATTGCTAAGTAACTGCTCCTATTTTTGCGTATGCATGTACCAACATGGTATCATGTTTACGTTAAAACTTAACCAACCCCCCACACACGACATTGACTGAAAAAAGAACAAAACTAAATACACAAATACAAATAAGACAAGTTTAACTTCCACATATAAGACTTGATATACAAAATTTAATGTTTCATACAAATCTAATGGATAAACCAAAAAATGGACTACCAAATAAGCACTCAAATTGTAGAAAGTGAATTATTAACTACTTCATTCTTTCTTTATGACAGAGTGGATCCAATTTGTAGTCAGAAACACGATTAGTCTTATTTGTGTACAGAACACTTGTTTTACTCCTATTTGCATCAATTTGTTTATTAAATATTAAGAAATGGTATTCTATCTCCAATTCTCCACAAGATTAATCAGAAAGAAGTATTAGCACGAGAACTTGGCAGTGAATGAGGATGGTATACTTACAGATGCAGGATTCATGCATCCACCAGTGAGATCAGAGCCAAGCAAATGAAGGGTGACTTTTGAGAGACTGGAGATCCAAGTCTTCATGAAAAAACTTCCAGGGATCTTTCTGGAAAGCCCGAGTGAGATACTCACGATCATGAATGTCAATAACCCTTCTGTCAGGGCGCCTCCATGGATGCCAACATTCAGCTTAGGTCCACTTCCTATGTCAGGGTATTTGTAAAGGATGAGCCTTACACCAATAATTGACCCAAGTACCTTTACAATTAGAATGAAAGCCGGAAATATCACGCGTTTCATCAAACATATTTAAGTGTTAACTCATCACACACTGATATCAAAGTCAATTAGGCTCACAATGAGTGATCGGTGTGACCCTGCCTCAACAACGAATTCCAAGATTTGTTTGCTCCAAAGAGCCACCTATCTTGTGGACAGGTTAAGTCATCTGACTCATCTCACACCAACCTATACAAATCAACATATAAGAGATTGCACCCTCTCTGTGTTTTACTACAGAGGTAAGAATGCGTACATTCGACCCTTACCCCACCGGAGGTGTGGGAGCGTTTGCGGCACGGGGATAACTGGGTAAGGCACTGGGTAATGATGATGACGAAGACCATAATATATTGAGAATTGTAGATTTATAAAATGAACTATAGCTAATCAATTAGATTCAATCTTTTTAGCACAACAACACAGTTAATTGGAGTAATGAGAAAAATGTGCATGTAATGAGAATTAATTAATGCACTTAATACTAATCTCCACAAAATATCATAAACACGCAATTCACCATTAGACCGAGGAATATAAGGGGATGTTGATTCTGCTTCTACTTTTTTTAAAAGCAGAATAAGAATAAGTTTTCAGAGTGTTCTCACCAAGCTTCTAAAAAACTTATTCTAGAAGTAAATTAGAGCATCAAAATCACTTCTTCACTTTCATCATAACACCCCAACTTAATAAAACTCCAACTTATGTTTCTACTCCCCGAAGGAACCAAAGCAGTTTTAAGAATAAAATTCAAACACACCCTAAATTGAAATTGAATAGAGGGGAAAAGGTCGACCTGGGAAGGGATTCTGGCGCCGAGGGTGAATATGAAATTGCTGAAATCGCCGGAGATGGCAGACGCCAAGACCGTGAGGGGATTGTAGGCGCCACCATTGGTGACCTTTACGAGGAAAGCGAAGAAGAACATGACGGCGACGGCTAGGGCGTGCTTGAGGATCTCACCGTCGAGATCGTGGTGGCCGAACACGAAGATCCTGTAGACGAAGATCTTGATGAGGGCGCTAGACCATACCCACATGAATGACATAAAGAAATCAGAGACCAGCAGCCTCCACCCGCCACCTCCCCCCATTGGAATCTGTCGTGCCGCGGCGGTCATCGGCGGAGCTCGAGCTTTAAGAAAATGGGAAAGGCGAACTCAGGTATGTATGGTTTACATACTATCGGGAGGCATCCAAGATGATGAGTTTTGTCAATATCACGGGAAAGTTTTAAGTTTGTTTCAGTGTATTATTATTGAGGTGTTTCTGGGATACATTCCTTAATTTGGTGTGTTTTGGTACACATTCTTTTTAACCGTTCATCATCCTTTTTAACCACTCATTCCATTATATCTTAATCTTACGCCACCTAATATCCTCATTAACTAAACATAATAATTTGTCATTTTTGCATTTAGATCCTTCATCGGATTAGAAAAAAAAGGTTAAACTGAACAAAATCGTCAAACGAGATTTATTTAAATAGGAATAAATAAATATTTAATTGTCAAAGTATGTGCAAAGTTTAAAATATTCTAATTAGGAATTATTATTCGTAGTTGGACAGGAGTATGAAAGTACCCCTTGAAGCTTGACAAAACTTAATGCAGCTGAACATCGCTGTTGACCGCCGACAACCGGCGCTACACATCTGGCCACCACCTCCGTACATCTGGTCAGATCTGGGCATCACCGATTTGACAATCGACATTGTAAATCTTGCCATGAACCACCACCGTACATCTGACCAGATCTGGCCACGTCGGCCGTCGTGGCTAAAGATCCGGCCTCTACCACTAAAGATTTGGCCTACACTGACGCCGCGGATCCGGATCACCGACATAGGGAACTAGGGGGCAATTGTTTATAGGTTTAAATATGATTTAAGTCCCTGCAAAATATTTTTTTTATGTTTTTCATCCTTTTATTATGCATTATTTGGTTTTTAGTATATCACTAAAAAAATTCACCCCTATAATTTTTTTGAGGAAAATATGAGAGTTAAAAAAATAAAAACTAATTACTCACATTTTTAAAATACGTATTAAATTCTATTAAATCAGCGGTAGATTAAAAGAAAAACTAACATACATTTTAGAAATGAAAAACAAAAAAATAATTTTGCAGGGATACTATATTTGCAGAGACTAAAAAAATATTTAAACCTTATTTATATTAGGAAGGACAAATATGGTATAAAAGTCCTATTTAAAAAATAAAAATATACACAATCTTATTTAGAAATTTAAGAAACAATTCAATCATATTTAGGCTAATAACTCAATCCTCACTACAAGTCGTTAATCATATTTAGTAGCACAATACTAAAATGTGATTGGATAAGAAAAGGTGTGTACCGGTACACTCAATATTTAGGAGTGCACCGTAGAATTTTCCTTATTATCCAGGCTCCCAACTCACCTTGTCACCTTGCTGCTCTTGTTTGTATGGAGTTGTTTGTTCCGGTTTAAGAATGTTGAGTTTTTTTAAACACAAAAACGTCAAATATGGTCTGATATCGTTACGAAATCATCATGTATTCAATAAAATGCTATATAAATGGTCTACTTATAAAGAAATAATCAGATGAGTCAAAATGACTCATTAGAGACCTTATTTTATAAGTAGACGTATTTATATGACACTTTATTGAGTACATGACCTTACGTGACGATTCTGTAATAGTAGAACATCTTATTTGACCCTTTTCTCGTTAAAATTTGTAAAATTTTGACAAAAATGCTTGAATTTACTCAGTTTATTTCTCTCCTTTTGTGATCAACTTTAATCAACATGTCTATATAAGTAAGGAAATTATTTGATTGTTATTCACACATTTGTATTAGAGCTTTGTAGATGAATTTGGCATCAAAAGTACCATGGAGAATCCCCAACCTCACTCATTTGTCATTTGAGACAAAAGTGAGCATCTCCTCTCCCCTCCAATCACCTTGCTCGACCCAGCCATCCAAGAAGTGAGAGAGAAGCTCAAAATATCATCCTCCATAGCTTCAAATTCGAGCTCAAGCAATAGAGGTCCAAGGAGGAAGATTTAAGAAGGAAAAAGTGTGAAGGATTAAGGTAATGACCTTATAATGACTTTTCCTTTACTTTTTATTCTTCATATGACTTATATATCATATTGAGGACCCCTAGGATTGTTCTACATGTTTAGAAGGGTAGAATGAGGGGTTGGAAGGTAGTTCTAGGTCTCAGAACGGACTTAGAAGCCATAGTGACCGGTTCACCGAAAAATAACCTTTTAGGGGTTATTTGTGTTGATATGAGTTTTGTGATGATAAAACCTTGTTAGGAGCTTGACTAAGGTGTTCCTAACTTTCACCGGAGTTTCGCCAGAGTATCGCCGGAGTTCAACCTAGAAGGGTAGAACTTCTTAAAGCTCATTCGAGGTGAGGATGGCTGTCTATATTGCTTATAATTGTTGGGTTAATTTCATAGGATTACCTAAAGTATTAAATGTAGATTTCATGGATTATTAATGATTAATAATAATGCCTAAATGAAACTACTATTGCATATGAGTAAATGAAGCATGATATACAAAATTTAGAGAAATTGTGTATGATTATGTATTATGAATATGATGACATGATAATGAAAGTAATTGTGAAATATTGTGATAAAATATACTTTTACTTCATGTATGAATTTCATGAAAGGATAAAAGTGATATTTTTTATGTTAAGGCTAAACCATACTTTTGATTGGTGAATCAATTGAAATGAAATGTTTAACTATGGATTAAGAAATTGGTTGTTCTAAGATTATCCGACTAGTATTGAAATACTAGTCGGGAATTTAATACAAATAATAATGAATTAATCCTAAGAGATTGGATTGTGATTAGTGATGCCTTAAGTAGTCTTAAGAGATACTTTAAGGATGAATTGTATGAGCTCTAAGGTATGTTAGGGGTAGACCTTAAGGGTTACTCTAAGTGAATGGATTCTAAGCATAGGATTTATTTTAAATAATATTCACTTTTATTAAACTAATAAACTTTTGTGAAGAAAGATTCACCAAATATTAGCAATGGAATTAATAAAAAATTAAATTAACCAAAACCTATGAAATGTTAGGTCATAGATTGATATTTTTTCATCATTCGGGTCCTATACTGATACATTTCATCTTTCAGGTCCTGGATTGATAATTCATCTATGTTTCAGGTCCCAAATTGATAAAATTCCTAGACTAATTATAAAGTGACTTCAAATTATCAAAATAAGTTTACTTTTGCAAATTAAACTTGGGAAAATGGTTGTAAATGGGACTAAAGAAGATTGAATGTGCACACGTGAGACTGCTTTTAGTTTTAAACCTAAATAGGACTAAATTTCCGTTTTCTTCCTATTTTACCCTTAGAGTTGTTCGCTCCAGCCAACCTTTCTTCTCCCCCTGCGCATCTTCTCCCCCCTACGCCGCACACAGCTTCTTCTCCCTTCCCCTTCGCACTGGAACAACGAAACCTTCGAGCCCGCCACCGCTGACGTGAAATCCTCTGCCGCTGCCCAGTCATAGCCATTGCCGCCGCTGACGCGAAGTCCGCCATCATCGTCGTCAGAGATCTTCTCTTTTTCGAAAGTAGGTTCTCTTGTTAGGTTGTTCTCCCCGCCCTTCCTCCCGTCTTCTCTATTTCTCTCCCTCTTCTATTTCGTTGCAGAGACATTTCTTCTTTGATTGGTAAACAATGCAAAGTTCAACTCCGAAAATGCCATCAAAATGGCATTCTTATTCTATAGAAATTTTGTATTTTTCTTTGAAAATGCCATTAAAATGACAATCCTGATTCATGTTGGCATTTTGATAAAAATGTTGGCATTCGTGTCGGGAACGGCCGAATCTGAAATGATAAAGGCCAAATTTGTAGTGGCAGATTCCGGATTAGCTGCGACAGTGGCCGGATCTACAAGGGCGGCGGTTGGCGGCCAGCGGAGGTTAGATATGACCAGATCTCCGCCGGCGTCCGCCATATCTGCAGCGGCGACAACCATTTCTACATCGGCGGCGGTCGGATCTACAATGGCGGCCAGTTTTGCGATGGCGGAGACGTACGGCAACTGGCGACAGGCGATGGTCCGGCGTTCTTGTCGACGACAGTATGACTTTCAAGCTTCAGGGGTGTTTTTGTCCAATTACAAATAATAACTCCTATTTTGGGAATTTTTAAACTTTAGTCATATTTTGGCGATTAAAAATTTATTTACTCCCATTTAGGTAAATCCCTCATTAAACTTGTATTCATATTTAAGAGTAACTCCAAATGACTCTATATGTACACTTCACTAATTGAACTTAGGAGTTGTTCCGTGCAAGAAGAGTATCGTCAAATCAACCATTAAACACGTTTTGGAGAGTTTTATGACTTATTAATATGAGATACATTTTATTTAGCATTTCATTTTTACTGCATAAATTTTAACACACTTTAGTAAGAAGAATTGTACTTAGTGACCTCTTACTCTCTTAGAGCAAGATTTTCTACACTGCCACAAAAGTAGAGATGACAATTGTGACCGATACAATGATACCCGTACCGAACCGTCCCGGTCAAAACGGGGAAAACCGCATTGACTGGGTAATGGGTATGGGTTGGGGAATACCCGTTTTAATTTTACGGGTAACGAGGCGGTTACGGTTTTATACATGCCCGTCCCATTACCCGCCCCGTACCCACCCCGTTTATTTTTGACTATATTTTTATTATATTTTTATCTATTACTTGTCTCACAACTACTAAAAAATAAAAATTTTCTGTTTTCATTGTGTATATATGGATAATAGATGACTTACTATTGTGTATGATTGTATGAATGAAAGTTTATAACAGATCTTAATAGTCTTGTTTGATTATTATCAGATTTTTTCGTGATTAATTATTTTTTATATTAAGTATTTTTAGGTTCAAATTAATTTAGGTTGTCTTCTTTCTTGTCTTGTAGATATACAAAACTTAAGTGGCCTATGAGTAGAGTCGTCTAGGTGATGCCATGTTTCACCTTTTAGAAATTATTTATATATTAAAATAATAATGACTCATATAATAAACCGATTACTCGTGGTTACGCGCGGCTATACCCGTTACCCGTTGGGACGGTTATGGTTTGGATAAAAATTACCCGTTGGGTAATGGGGCGGTTACGGGGCGGGGGAATTACCCAACGGTGCGGATACGGTTATATGTAAAACCGTCCCTGATCCGCCTCATTGCCATCTCTACACAAAAGTACTGATTCTTGAATCTAGAATAATGTTTATTTTACCAAAAACCCAATATTTAAAATCCCATTTAAATTTATACATTAAATAGAAAATATACATAGGTAAAAATCAATGTACAAGTAAGAGAAACTAAACTAAAATTCCTAAAAAATACCTCTTACGTTCTGATGGATAGTCTACCCGGGGGTATATATCCGAAGGGTTACTACGGGGAATAACTTAGAGAGAAGTCAGAGCAAGTAAATATAGAGAGAGAGAGTGTATTATAAATGTGGAGCGTTTTCAGCGTGGTTACAAATGGGGAAATGGGGTGCTATTTATAGTAGCAATAAATGCCGGGCAGGGACACGGTCAAGCGCTCATTGGCCGAGGGGTCACCTCAACTGGTTGGCGTTGGCAGCCGCATGTGGCCGCATTTAATGCGGCTGTTGGATGGAACGTCTGTGCGGGGTACGGTGATCTGTACGCATGTGAGGCAGATATCTTGTCGAGTGAGGCGCCTTCGGCTATAGAGCAGTAACCGAGGGCTCTCCCACCCGATGGCACCCTGGTGCCGAGGGCTCACAATGCCGAGGGCTACTGTTTTCGCCGTTTTCTCCCAGTTTCCTAATTTGCTTGAGAAACCCGCTCTGTGATAATTTGGAGCCTTCGGCCAGGGGCCGAAGGCACCCCTGTGCGTTGTGCGGACTGCTTGGTACTCTGGGCGCTGTGATGCGGGCCTGTTGGGCCTGTTGGGCCTTTGATGGAGTAGTAGGAGTCTGTGGGCCGGGGGTTCCCGGGCCATATACTCCATCAGGAGTCCCTCACTCCTTTTGCCGAAAGGTACTTGAGGGAAAAGGAGTAATTTGTGCTTGCCTTTTGATGTTGTCCTGTCGTGATCCCTGAAGTTGGTGAGGAGTTGTTGCTTTTATGTCCCTGCCGAAGGCAGTCCCTCAGTTACCCGCATGTCGGGACTTGAGGGCTTGCTTTGTTGTTTGTTGGAATTTCACAGATTTTGTAATTTAATGATTTTCCCGAAGGGGTCCTCCAGTCCCTCACTCCTTGAGGCACTTGTAAAGTGGTGAAAAGGAGTAAAGTAGTTACGTTGCTGTTGTGGGCCGAAGGCTGACGCTTTTCGTTTCATTTTGGGGGGATGCCTCGTTAAAAACCTCATTAGGAAAAACCCTTTGGGAAAAAATCCTAATGAGGGAAAAAGAGTGCACCGAATTCCCCCAATGATGAATCGAAAATGTCAAACCTTGGTACAAAGTGGAGAATTACGGGAATGCCGAAGGCTCTCTCCTCTGAGGGCTCCTGTGTTGATTAGCCGAAGGCTTGCTGTTGATGTCCTGGTGGTGCCGAAGGGGAGCCCCTCAATCCAGGGATCGAGGGCCTGCCAGATGAGGGCAGCAGTGAAGCTGTTACCGGGGGGTCCGCTGTTTGTTGATGGGTTGGTGATGAAGATACCCGAGGGCTCACATTACCTGTGTGCCTTGGGCCATCCGTCAATGAGGCACTCCCCGGGGGCTACCCGGTTTTGCAGTGCTGAGGGGGAAACCCCGAGGGGTGCCCTGATATGCAGCCCCAGGGATCTGAAGGGGTGATCCCGAAGGCGTGTGTAATGTGCTGTGCGGGGCACAACCCGGGGGCACTTTCTGGGTGAGTGCACCCGGAGGCTATCTTTGATGAAGTGGAGTGAAGTAGAAAACCCGGGGGCTTCCAAAATATAGCCGTTGGAAATATAGCCGTTGGAATATGTAACGACGGGATATAGCCGTTGGGGGGGCACACGTGGCGTGTGATGGCTGGCTGTCCGTGGGCGGTGCCACCGGTTGGGCGAAGACGCGGTGAGTAATGATGGCGTCCATCCGGAGGCCCGGAACCCAGGCCCAAGCCCGGATTCCAGCGCCTATAAATACCCCAAGGCCAGGCATTCCTCCGTGTGCGATAAACTTGTTAGCGAAGCTCTGTCATTTTTTCTAGAGAGAGAAAGTTCAGCCTTCGGTCCAAAACTCAGCTTTCGAGGTCAGTGCTCCCTGCCTTTCTCCTTCTAGCATAGTTGTACTGTGCCCTTAGTTTAGGAGAGAGAAAAGTTAGGAAACACTACCGTCTACGAGCCCTCGAACAAGGGTGCGAATGTCGTCCCAGAGTGACTCTCAGGACATCTCGAGGACGCCCTCGATGGAGGACGAAGGCATCTCCGATGTGGAGTCAAGCAGTGGTCAGCCCTCGGATTGTGGTGATGCAGCCCTCGCCACTGAGGTGCAGAAAGATCTGACGGCTGAGGCCGAGGCGGAGGAATTCGAGCGAACTGCCGAGGATGAAGAGTTGGCCCTCGCCGTCCAAGTTGCTGAAGAGGAGGAGGAGAAGGAGAGGGCGAAGGTCACTGTGGCCGTCCTTCCCCCTCGGGGTGCTGGTGAGGCCAGTACCTCCCGGCCGCTGAACGCAGTTCCCATCCGGGTGGCCCCCGGGATGAAGAGGAGAAAGACGAAGGCCGCCCCTCAGAAGAAAGCAAAGACCGTCGATCAGGGGGGGCCAGTTGATCTACCGGAGGGTTACTCCTTCCTGGACACCGCCGCTCTGGAGATCAAGTCCCAAGCTGACAGGGCGGACATCTACATCACCCAATTGCATGTAGGGCCCTCGGCCGTGGTAGTCGAGCCAGGTCCCGATGACGTGCTGTCGCGGCCCCCCGAGGGATGTATAGCCGTGCACGTGCTTTCGGTCTCAATGGGCCTCCGGTTCCCTCTCCATCCGTTCCTCCGGGAGTACCTGAGGTACACCGGCCTGGCCCCCTGCCAACTGACTCCCAACAGCCACTCGTACATAACGGGGTTTGTGAACCTGTGCAAACTCCGGAAGGTTACACCGAGCCTGGAGTTATTCTTCCAAAGCTTCAACCTATGCCGGGGGGGACATACAAATGCCGAGGGCTATGCGAACTTACAGCAGATAGCCCAGTTCAAGCTGTTCACTGAGGCCCCTTCTTCCAACAAGGGGTGGAGAGAGCGATGGTGCTACATCAGACTGGCCGACAGCCCGTTCCCGAGGGAGTTGCGGAATCGCTTTCGGCGCCATGTGAAGGCCAAGAGTGCCGCCCTCGAGAAGGATGGCCTGAAGATTGCAAAGATTCCCGAGGGTCGGGAAAAGAACGTAACCATCAAGGAGTGCACCCTCGAGGAGGACCTGTATGCCCTCAGATTCCTGAGGTATCGATTCATTGGGGAGACCGACGAGAAATATCCCCTCTACGATAAAGCCTTCGTGGGAGCAGGAGGTAGTGGCCGGGGGCTTTACGTTTTCGTACTTAGAGATTTTTTGTTATGTTTGTTGTCATGTTTTTGACCCCTCGGTTCTAACCTTTCAACTTGTTGCTGTCGTTCTTTGCAGGTAGCAGGATGAATGCCAATGCCTTGTTCGCGAAGAGGAAGGGCAAGACCCAGCAAAAGGAGAAGGGGCCCTCGAGCCAGAAGCCAGTTGACGCGCTTTTCCCGAAGGCCATAGAGCCTTCCGCCGGGGACGCCCATGCTGCTGTGCGGACCGGGGGGTCGAAGGCCGAGGCGGCCGCTAAGAAGAAGAGGAGCGACAAAGGGGTGGAGCCCCCCACCAAGAAGCAGAAAGGCGCCGTGGGTGCTGTCGGGGAGGCGGCCCCCCTCATAGTCATTGATGACATGCCCGCCGTTGATGAGCCTCTGGCCTCGGTCCCCCCGAAGGATCCGGTGAATCCCCCCCGGGCGGAATCACCCCGGGAGATCCGTCAGCTCTCCTTTGCCCCCGGCGCTTCATTGATGCACGGCACTGCCGAGCCGAAGGCCTTCCTGCGGGGCATCACCTCGAAGATGGACAGGGAAGTCTTCGAGACCTACGATGACGATGCCCTCGAGAACAGGATCCTCCGGTCCTCGCTCACTGTAAGTATCCGCTTCCTTTTTCCTTATCTTGCCAGTGTAGTCTTATTTTTTCCTGAGGAACAATCTAACTCCTTTGATCATTGTTCGCAGGCCTGCATAGCCCTCGGGGAACAGGCCCGGAGGCGCGAGGAAAGGCGTCTTCACGAGGCCGCCCAGGATAAGAAGGTGGAGGGGCTGATCCGTAAGAACTCCGAGGCAGTGAAGCATGCTGCCCAACTGGAGGAGGCCCTTCGGGAGGCGAAGGCGGCGGTGGAGAAGGCCAAGGCTGATGGTATAGCCGAAGGCAAGGCAGAGGCCGAGAGGGTTGCTGCCGAGGCGGCGAAGAAAGCCGCCGATGAAGCCCAAACTGCTAAGGAGAGAGCTGTGGCCGAGGCCCGAGGGGAGGCAGTTGCGGAGTTCCTTGCTGAGGGCTGGAGGGCCGAGGGCCATAAGGAGTGGGTTGCCTCCGTGGTGGCAGCCTCGGTGGACGCTTGGGTAGAAGGCCCCGGGGTTGACTGGCTGACCGATAGGGGCGACGCCTACTATCAGGGGGTGAGTTCTTTACCCAGCACCTGATATACCGGAGGCTCGCCAGGCACTTCGGTGTATCCCTCGAACAATTTGACCCCTCGGTATACGGCCTCCCTCCGTTGCAACCAGATGTCAGAGTTCCCCTCCCCCCGGGTGAAGAGCGGCCAACAATCTATGATTCTGTGATGATGGGGGGTGACGAGGTTGGAGCCGTCGGGGGTGATGCTGCCGGAGAAGAAGTTTCCTCCAAGGCTGTCGTGGAAGATGCCCCCGGTGACAACGAGGTTGAAGCCGCCGAGAAGATTATTACTTAGTCAATTTTTTTTTTAAAAAAAACTTGTAATGAAACTTTTGTTGCCCCTCGGCTTTGGCCACTCTCTGTAATGATCACATTGACTATTTTCGTGTTGTAATTGAATGATTGCCTTCGGGCTTGGTGTATATGATATGCTTCCTTCTGATCTGTTCATTGTTGAATGTATGCCTTCGTCTTCGTTTTGAATGTATGTCTTGTTCCTTTGAATGTATGTCTTAGGACTTAGAATACCATCTGATTGTAGCTAGCCCTTGGGAGCCTTCGGTACTTGGGCACCCTCCGCTGGATATGCAACCGAGGGTTCAGCAACAATTAGGACTTAGAAAATTTTTCTAAGTATAGCACACCATAGGGCCTTCGGGTGAATGCAGTAACCCAAATCCTAGGACTTAGAAAAAATTTCTAAGTGTAGATTTCCCCTTGAGAGCCTTCGGGATATGGCCTCCCTTCCTGATGTGTGAATGTTGGACCGAGGGTTCAGTAGGAATTAGGACTTAGAGATTTTTTGCAAGTGTAGTATGTCATGTAGCCTTCGGCTACTGTGGAGCCCCAACTGAAATATTGAATAGGCCGGGGGCCAATTCTTTAGGACTTAGGAAATTTTCTTGAGTGTTGATTCCTTGTGTACCGTAGCTCTCGATTGATAGGTAGCCTTCGGCAATTGGGTCCCTTGAGATGAGGGTGAAATATGTACGACTTAGAAAATCTTCTAAGTGTAGAGTTTCCCTCGAGAGCCTTCGGGAGGTGGCATACCTCTATGATGTATGAGTAGCTGACCAGGGGGGAAACATGTAGGACTTAGAAAATATTCTAAGTGTAAAGTCTCCCTTGGGAGCCGTCGGGTGATGGCATCCCTCCTTGGTGTGCGAGTAGTTGACCGGGGAAAACATGTAGAACTTAGAAAATATTCTAAGTGTGGATTTTCCCTTGGGAGCCTTCGGGAGATGGCGTCCCTCCTTGATGTATGAGTAGTTGGCCGGGGGGGAAAACATGTAGGACTTAGAAAATCTTCTAAGTGTAAATTTCCCTTGGGAGCCTTCGGGAGATGGCATCCCTCCTTGATGTATGAGTAGTTGACCGGGGAAAAACATGTAGGACTTAGAAAATCTTCTAAGTGTAAATTTCCCTTGGGTGCCTTCGGGTGATAGGTGCCCTCTGACTCCACATCACTTTGCGAGATGCCCGGGGGCTACTCATTCAGGACGGAATACCCTTTTTTTTTTAAGTGTTGTTGTATTGCATGGCCTTCGGCCACCATATTCCCTTGGCTGTAATATTGATTGGGTCAGGGGCTCCATCTTTAGGACTTAGAATTTTTTGTAGTGCTGCTTCCCTGTGTAGCCTTCGGGTGCCCGGGGGCTGCTCCTTCAGGACTTAGGATTTTTCTAAGCATAAATTGATGTTGAATCCTGTTGTTGTGAAGAAAGCCAATGAGGAGTGTGTGCCTCGGCATACACTTTAAAAGTTGTAGAATTTGACCCTTGTCATGGGGAAAGGGCCCTCGGTATTCGTGCATAACAGATGCCTTCGGTGTTTGTTTGAAGTACTGTTTAGTGGACCTTGGACAGTCCAGTCCCTTTGTATTGTTGAAGCCTTCGATGTTTTTGTGACCGGAGGTGACCAGGTAGTGGACTTTAGCCGTTTCCTGATGATATTTCTTTGAGTAGTATCCTTCGGGAAATAGGAGTCTTCAATTACCGGAGGTGTTCCCGTGGGGAGCCCTCGGCATGTTGTGATATTGTTGGAGTGTACTCTTCGATTTCTCGCTGAGTCTACTCCCCTTCACCCCCTTTTTTTTTTTGGTTGGTGGTGAAGGGAAGGCATCAAGAAACTTGGTTTCTTGGTAAGGCTGGGCCTATTAGGAGACCATCAGAATACACCAATGGCTCTCCTCCCTCGGGTTAACCTTCCGAGTGCCGAGGGGATCGAGGGACGTTTCCTGGGCACAAGATATGGTGGTCCGTAACCTGCCTCCCATTGGGGGATGGCGCGGAAAGCGCCTCATTTTTGAAAGTCGTCCCCTCGGCGCTAGACATAGTCTGTGGCCTGCCACACCCTTGGGGTGTTGGCGCGGGGAGCGTTTCGGTTTGGAAGTCGAATCCTGGGCATTTCTCATGCCTGTCATACCCTGGGGGTAATGACGCGGATAGCGTTCCGTTTTTGAAAGTCGAATCCTGGGCATTTCTCATGCCTGTCATACCCTGGGGGTAGTGACGCGGAAAGCGTTTCAAAGAAGGGTTTTCATTTGCACACTAGTTGCAAATGGCCGGGGGCACTACGTGCCACCGGCACCGATGGTGGCGCCTTCGGTATATGCGTCCTCGTGGGGTACGGCTTTTAGAAACAACACTTGGTGTTAGTTTCGATGTGTAGCCCCCGGTACTTGGTACCGAGGGGTTTTCTGTAGGAACACTTGTTGTTCTCTTGTTGTAGTTGATGTAGGCGTCTACCCTCGGTACTTGGTACCGAAGGGTCTTCAAATGAAACACTTGGTGTTTCCCAATAGATGTTTGGAAGCTGTTAGGAGAGCATATCCCTGGCACTGGGTGCCGAGGGGTCTTCTTTGAAACACTTGGTGTTTTTTCTTCGTTTCGATATTTGATGAGGGAGGTGTACCCTCGGCACTGGGTGCCGAAGGGTCTTCTGTAGGAACACTTGGTGTTCTAATCTTTTCTTTTTTGATGTTGAAGGTGGGGAAGTATCCTCGGTACTGGGTGCCGAGGGGTCTTGACTGAAAACAGGTGGTGTTTCCACTGTTTGTTGTAGGTGTTGATGGTGTCCGCCCTCGGCAATGGGTACCGGAGGGGGTTCTTCTTGTGGTGAGGCCTGGGGCCTGTAGTCAGTATGAGGGCTTGATGTCTTGAATGTATCTTCATTCTTCGAAATTGGAGGCCTTGGGCCATTGGATAGTACATTCACTAGTTATGAGGGCTTGGTCGCTCTTACATTATTGATAAAATTTAACTAAATGGTGTACATTCCAGTGCCGAGGGACTTCTTTCCCATTGGGGCATTTGAGTTTGTAGGTCCCGGGTTTTATGATGGCTGCTATGATGTAGGGGCCTTCGAATTTTGGTGCCATTTTGCCTCCCTCGGTTGGTTGGCTGGCTTCCCTCCTCCGGAGGACATAGTCCCCCACTTGAAATTCTCGGGTGCGAACTTTGGCGTCGATGTAGCATTTAACTTGCCTCCGGTAGTTTTCTGCCCGGATGAAGGCCTGCTCCCGGCGTTCTGAAATGAGGTGCAGGTTGAGGGCCATGTTGCTGTCGTTGACCTCGGGGTCATATTGGATCACCCTTTGGGTAGGAAGGGTGACTTCCGTAGGAGCTTTGGCTTCAAAACCGTAGCAGAGGGAGAAGGGTGTTTCACCTGTAGCGCGCCGAGGGGTAGTGCGGTAGGCCCAGAGGATGTTGTGAAGTTCTTCCACCCAGCCACCACCCTCAGCCTCCAGCTTCTTTTTGAGGCCCTCGAGCAAGGTCCGGTTGGCGTTCTCTACCTGCTCGTTGCCTTGAGGGTAGGCAACGGAGGAGAAGGTGTGTTTGATGCCCCATGCCTCCAGAAGGGCACAGAAGGGGGCTGCCTCAAATTGTGTTCCATTGTCGGAGATGATCTGCTGGGGGACGCCAAACCTTGTGAGGATGTTCTTGAGGACGAAGTGACGGCACTTCGCCTCTGTGATGCTGGCGAGGGGTTCAGCCTCCACCCACTTGGTAAAATAGTCGACGGCCACAATGATGTATCTGTTGTTGGAGGTACCCCTCGGCAGAGGGCCCACAAGGTCTATCCCCCATCGAGAAAATGGGACAGATGTGCTGATGGGGGCATAGTTGACCGCTGGCCTGCCGGGGCTTTCTGGAAATGTTGACATGCGGTGCACCTCCGGGCAAGGTCAGCACAATCCCTGGCCATGGTTGGCCAGAAGTAGCCCTGGAGAATGAGCCTTCGGGACATGGAGAAGGGTCCCTGGTGAGCTGAGCAAGTGCCACTGTGCACTTCCTCCATTGCGACCTCGGCTTCATCTGGATGAAGGCACCGAAGTAGCGTGCCATTGTAAGATCGTTTGTAGAGCCTTCTATCTTCGATGGTGTAGCTGGGAGCCCTCAGCTTTGCAAGTTTAGCGCGGGCCTCATTCTCGGGTAGCTGCCCTGTGGAGATGAAGGCGGTGATATCTGAAATCCAATCCTCCTGACGTTGTTGTATGTTCATCACGGGGCTTGCATGGATGCTTGAGAGGCTGAGTTCCTCGATTTTGGCAATCTTGGAGATGTGCTCGGGGGAGTCTGCCGAGAGTTTAGATAATATGTCGGCCTCGGAGTTCTGAGCCCTCGGTATTTGAGTGAGAGAGTGTGCCTCAAATACCTTAAGCAACTCCTTGGCCGCTTCCTTGTACTGTTTCATTCTTCCTTCCTTGGCCTCATATTCTTCGGAGATTTGGCCAACGACCAACTTGGAGTCGCATTTGAT